AAATCATTCTAAAGCCCTTATTTTAAATTAAACTGAGTCTGGAAAATGATATAACTGCTTGAAGGAACTAAAGTCAAGGTAATGTTGGGCAATAAAGAATCTATCTCTCTCTGTATGAGCCAATAGGTTTAGATAGTGGCTAAACTAAGGCTTAAATGTTGAATAATTAGGAATAAATGAGGATCTTCAATAGGACAGCCAAACAATCAGATAAAGATGGAACCGGTCAGGAAACAATATAAGAATGGAAGAGTTTATACATTCTAGTTAAGTTTTTTATTCCTGAGATGAAGAAGTATCACAAAGCATCCTTTATCAATTCCAAAATTTGTTCTGATGTTTATCTAGAATTCTTTAATTTTAAGAACAGACATAAGTGGTCAAGTTGCAACTATCTGACCAAAACCAACACCATCAGAAAAAACAAAAAGGGTGAAGAAGTTAAAGCAAAATTCAAGTCAAAGCTTATGGGACAGCAGTGTCAGTGTCCACAGTTATTTAAATAAAAATAAAAATGATTTGTCTGAAACTGTTTTGAGATTTATTGGCTCATTTATAAGTGTGCCACAGGATTTGTGTTTAGTGTCCAGTTAATGTAATAATGAACCACAAAGGAACAAATTCTAGTTCCACATAGTTGATATACCAGGCTAACCCCAACATTTGGCCAAGATGGGTGGACTCACCATCTCTACAAATTCTGCCAAGAGCAGCCATTAAAAATCCAGTAAGAAATACACACAAAACCTGTGTAGGTCTCTGCAACTTGGTGAGAAACATTTATTACATTTTAGAGGGGTTGCAAATACTTAGTTTTAATATAAACCAGTGCAATTTAAGGAAAATCCACTAAAATTAGTTTATTTTCTATTTTTTTTGTTTTTAAATCCAACCTTTGTATCTGATCAATGATCAGGATATTTATGTCAGAAAAAGGCTCACCTTTGCCCTCCTATCCACAGCATAACATAGATTTAGATTTTTGAGGTCTAATAGCAGGAAATGCACTATTTATTTGGGACAAAATAAAAAAAGTACAAGATAAGAAATAAACTGCACCAAAAACTATTACAGCCATTTCTCGGCATGCATGATTTATTTCAGGTAATCCAGCTGGAATTTTGTCAGCTTTACACACCACAAAATATAATTAAAATCAAATAAAAATGTGTTTTATTTCTATTTCCACATTAAACAAAAATGTGAAAAACAGAACCTATTCAAGGCAGTAACCAAAGTACTTTTACCGTTGTATTAAAATTGGATTCTTTTATATTAAATTTAAAACCTTATCCTGTAATGCTTCTTATATTAACATAATTTGAAAAATGAAAAGACATCTCCTCTGGTTTGTTTTATTCGTACCTGACCCTAAATCAGACTGACAGCATCATTATAAAGTGTACAATACAAAAACCTCTTCATGGGACTAGGAAACCTTGGTGAAACAAATGAAAACACTTGAAACTAGCGCGCTATTGAGAAATTTACATTTGAAAAATTACCTTAGGTGATGGTGTAAAAAAAATCTATTAAAAAAAAACAAAAAAACTGGGACTCAGATTGTCTCCCATTTGAAGTGACAAGATGATTGGTTCGATAATCTCAATAGTCACAGTCTAGGTCAAATTAAGTGCTAACATTTTTCTATGTCAAAAGATCTGCCAGCTGGAAATCACAAAAATATATAAAACACCAAATTTCCCTGGGCTGAATTTTGCTGGCAAAATCGTGATCTAAATTCCACCTTGCACTCCCGCCATACCTGGATGTCCACTTCGTGCACAAATAACCTATCAAAGCAGAAGCTGTTTTTTCATCAATCGTTAAAATTTTGTGGCTATTGCTCTTTGGCAGTGTCCTAGCTTTATATCTGAATACCTTCCCTTTCTATTTGTGAGTTGAGGTGGTGTGTTGGTGTGTAAAGGGCAATCATATTACTCTGAAATATACACCAAACATGCACAACAGCATTCACACCCATACAGTATGTTGCAAAAGTACTCATACCCCTTGGACTTTTTTTCACATTTTATCCTGCTACAACCCCACACTCCAATCTCACTATTAGTTTTAATGTAATATAATGGGTCATTAGCATGTATATGTGCATTAAAAGGGGAAAAAGACATCATTTCAAATAAAAGAAAAAAGAATCTGAAAAGTGTAGAGTGCATTTCTATTCTGCTACATTAACTTTGGCACCTCGAAACAAAATCTAGTGCACTTTGCATCCATGTAAATCTGTCAGTATAATTCTAGCAGTATTTTGAAGGCCTCAGAGGTTTGTTAGAGAACATTAGTGAACAGAGAGCATAATGACCAAGAAGCACAGCACATAGTTCGTGGATAGAGATGCAGAGGTTTTAAACCAGGGTTAGGATATAAAATAAACTAAGTCTTGATCTTTCAAAGTTCTGCACAATTCACCTTTCAAAAACGGCTGTTCATCTTCGTTACCAGGTGAGGGAATGAGACCATGTTATTTGGGACACATAAAAAAAGGCCATCAGGTGACTCTGGAGGAGCTGCAGAGATTTACATCTCATATTAGAGCACCTCAACGGGTCAGCTATTAGACACACTCCACAATTTCCTTCTACCTTCATTTAAGAGTTAGCAGGGGGAGAAAAAGAAGCATGTTCAGAAGTAGCCAGATATTACTTTAAAATTTAGCCACAAGCTATATGGGAAACTAAAAACATGAAGGTTCTTTGTCATATGAGTGCAAATCATATTATAGATGTCCAACACTCAGGGTCACCTTAAATACACCTTTCCCACTGTAAAGAAAGTGGCAGAATCATGCTGTGGGGATACATTTATTTGGTACAGAGAACCTGCTCAGTGCTGATAGGAAGATGGAGCCAAATATGGGAGTCAGAAGAATACTTTCCATAAGCTGCCAAAGACTTGAAACTGGGAAGGTTTCGCTTTTTGAAAGGAAAGCCACTAAACATGCAGTCAGGGTTAATGGAATGGTCTGTGACCCTGGTCCTCGGCCCCATGTTCGGCCTGTTTTGTTTTTTTTTACCTTCACACACCTGACCTGAATATAGGAGTAATTGACAGGCCTTGGAGGCTGCTAAGGAAATATATGTGATTCAAGTGTGCTGAAACAGAGAAGTCTAAAATATGCCATACAGACATCTGGTTTAAAGTATATTGAAATGTTAGAAAGGCCTAGTGAAAGCCCACATCTAAATTCTAATGATTATCTAATAGGCCAACTTTCCAGAGCAGAATGGGCAAATATAGACCCACTATTATTATGGACTACTTTAGGTTGGTCTATCAGGAAGTCAGATTTTGTGGAAGATGGACAAATAAAAAGAAAAGGGGGTTTAAGGGGTATAACTACTTTTGTAAGGCACTGTACACCCTTCACTGTGGGAAAAACACAAAGCATGCATACAAATTAGGCCGAGGAAAGCTACATCCCTTCTTTTTTACCTTCTCACACTCTTCCATCAAACATGCTTATCCAAAAAACCAAATGTGCTCATGCACTCTTACTCATGCAAGATCTCACACCCAGACAGACACACACCGCTCAGTAATATGGCAAGGTTAGTCATTGTAAAAGTGCGGATTAGTCGCAGTTTCACAAAGTCGCTTTTATTTGCCATTTAGTATTGAAATATTTTTGCCAGTCAAAGACACTTAATTTCACAGTGCAACACAGTATGACAAACACTGACATTAGGGTCAAGACATATCATATGGGTGAGGTTTAAAAAAAAAATAAAACGTACAAATAAAAAAAACAATCAAATAAAAAGTGCAAAAAAAAAACTTAACAGTCACTGAATATAGCATTGATTCAATTTTTGTGTTAAGTGTGTGAATTTTAGTTCACTACAGAAACAAAACTCATCAGTAGCAGCAAAAAAAAAAACAAAAAAAAAACAAACAATAAAAGACCAATTATAAAACATTATAAAGATAACAACCAATCACTTTACTAAAGATATCATTATGGCATCAAATGGATATCAATACGACTGTAGACAGACATTTACACACGCACACACACTCAGGAGTCACATGCACACGCACACAAACACTTGGTCACAGTTAACAGGTGCCAAGGACATTGCGGTGGGGAGTCAAGTTTTAGCTCGGTACCATGTCCAGAAACAAATACAAAACAAAAGGAAAATAATAATAATAATAATACACATTTCACACTGTTAAAGAATGCCAAAATCAGGATTTACACACTTGCAACATGCACGCACGCGACGAGCCGAACCTTGGAGACGAAACTAAGGATGCGATTTTTTTCTGTTTTTTTTTTTTGTCGTTTTTACGATTTCCTCACACTCTGGTCAGAAAACTGATGTGTTAGCCCTAATCCCCCGTCCCAGAGGAATGGTTTTCAGCAGAAAAACGGTTTCCCTGCTTTTTTCCCCTCTCGTTCAAACAGGTAGAAAGAAAAATGTAGACAGCAATATGTGTGATAGAAGATAGCTCTGTAAAGCAGCACTCTGGTAAGAATGAAAGGTAGGAAACATAGATGATCATCTTACAGATAAGCAGAATTGGGCGAGCACAGATGGAGTATGTGATATTAAAATCCTATTCCCCCGTAAATGAAGTTATTATAGAGTTTTTACCTGTCTGTCCCTAACTACTTGTAGTAGGTCTGTTAAAGTCATAACTGCAGTGCCACCCACAGTCTGTCCCATGCACTACATGTGCATTATTATGAGTGTCAGCTTAAGTCTGTCGGGCTACCAGCTACTCGTTTAAAAAGCCTAGCTGTCCCAGTGATTCCAGGCAAGAAACAACCCTTCTCTCGCTTGTTCTACCCTGCCTCGTCAGTGAATCCCCTCCCAGTCTTTCCCTGAACTTTTCTCTGCGCTGCTCTCTTTCTCCCAGCTGGTCTCTTCATCTCTGTCTTCCCCCCTCTATCTGTCCCTAACAGTTAGTTTGTTTTTTTTCCTGTGTCGGGTCCCTGCCTAGTTAATCTAGAGGTGTCCCCCCGTCCCTCCCTCCCACCCGCCCGCCCTCCCTCCCGCTATGGACAAACACATAGGGCGTGGGGGCCGTCCATCGGGGGAGTGGCAAAAAGCGTCCCTCTCCCTCCCCCCAGATCAGGGCCGTGCAATACACAGATGGATGAGTTTCCCATTCACCCTCCTCCTGCTGGCTCACCTGAAAATCATGAAGACACAAAATGTTTAGCAAAGCAAGACAGCCGTTTCTATAAAAAGTTACTGTATGTGTGTAGTGGGGGTTGGGGCTTACCTCTTGGTTGGGTGTCGAGAACCTAAACGCCATAGCAGGCTGCCAGTCTCTCCTTCAGCAGTGGAGGGAACTGCTCGGAAAACTGCTGCCAGTTCTCCTCCCCAACCTGCTCCTTGAAGCCATGCAGGATCTGTGGGGTCAGACCAAAGGATGTGGTCAGTATGTGCAAAAGAAGCTTAATTTCATTGAAGACCAGGCCCTAAATCACAAGTTTGCATGGAGGCTATTATAAAAAACAATTATAAAAAGTGTGGCTCCTTGATCTGCAAAGTTGGTAGAAAAGTTAATGCAGAAGAGAGCAGGTTACCAGTTTCAAAATATAAACAAGTCATGGTTAATACTTGGGATTGTTTCCCTCATACTGTAGCAGCGGTATTAGCATTATTTGATCTATTTATTTTTCTTTTTTTTAATAAATCTTATCAGAAAGAGTGCTCAGGTTGTGAAGGAGGGCAGCATCCCAAACCTTTTCCACTTCTTTGTCCCTTTTAGTGAGGCCACGACATGCACACTGCTTCACTCTGAAGCATTTTAAAGTCAGCTATATGGGGATACTGTGAAGAAGATAGGAAGCAACAGCTTGGAGGAAGAATGTGTGTTTAGACAGAGGCTACCAAAGAAAACAATCTAGCTAACATAATAGCACATCTGTCAGAGCAGGGATGTCGAAGTGAAATACACAGAGGGCCAAAAAAACTAATTTGCTACAAGCCGAGGGCCGGACTGGTTAAATGTTTAATCAAATATATTAAAATAACCATAGCCTATTGAACCAAGACCTAACATATAGTTTTTTTTAAATAACAAAATATTAATATCAATAATATGAATAAACTTTTATTATATTGATAAACGTTTTAAGATAAATACATAAATGAAAGTGCATGCATTATAAAACAAAAATGCATTACTGTGCTGCTCTATGATCCTACCGATCACTGCTATCAAATAGTAAAATTAGAAGAAAAATTTAATCAGTTGTATTCGCTCTCATGGCTCTTATCTGCATTTTTTCCTGAGTCCATTCAATCAAAAAATATGAATAAATAAAATAAAATACAAAAATCTATGGCACACAGACAAAACAATACTTCCTCCAAAGAAAAATCATGTCTTGTACAAAGAAATGTAAAAATGTTGTGATGAATCACAACAGCAGACCAAGAACTCAGCCAGAGGTTCTTCAATTTTTGCACGCAGGTGTTAGCAGAGGCTGACTGAAGCCAAAATAAAAACGGACGCACTGCCGAGTTTGGGTCAGGTGGGATCCGCACGCCAGGCACAGTCAGGGGAGGGATCCACACCTGTCAGTAGTGCTCCGTCTCGATCACAGTATCGTGTGGATCCCACCTGCCCCTCGCTCAGCAGCGTGTTCGTCTCTATCACCTGCAGGATCAGCTCCGCCCCTCCCTCCATCCAAGCTCCTTTTATTTTGGCTTCATTCAGCCTCTGCTGACACCTGCGCAGCAGTTGTGAAGCGCAGTTAGTGCACTCCGCCCCCTTAGACAACCGACTTCAGCCCAGCCAGGATTGTTAAAGGAGGAAAAAACCCAACATGCAAAGCACAACAAAAAAATTTAAATAAAAGAAAAACACAATCACGTTTTCCCCTGGGAATGTAGTGTTGGTGCGTGCAACACAACCACAACAACACAAAGCAAAGTCACAGGAGCGTGCACAAGTGGCCTGTGGGCCAGTTCTAATGGTAATTAAATATCATCCAGGGGGCCATGGATAAAGAATTTGGGGGCCTTGACTTTGACATGTGTCAGAACATCAACAAGGATTGTCTGCTGAACTTAGTTATGATTTAAAGACAAAAGTACAGAATCCCTTCATAGATGTAGCTGCATATGTTGTGTTTACTTGTTCATACTGATCCTTTAATCAAGTAACAGTTTATATTTATGTGACAAAAATTAAGGGGAGCAAGGGCCTGAAAGGCATGACACCTTTATCTGAAAACAGCTTCCGCTAACAGATAAGTTAACCTCGACTAGAGAGATTATGCTGAAGATCAGCCCACAATTCAACAAGTATTGATTTTCTTTCACCATTTTCTTTTTTAACTCAGACATTTCAGAAATAAAGTCGTAATCATCATACTGTGACACCATGATATTTTTGCTTAAGGTTATACCATCATAATTTCAGATGTCTTCTTAGTAATTATGTACAACCAAATTGTATGTTATTATAATTTATGCCAATTTAAAATATACAAGTTTAAAGAACTATAGTAATAACATGATTTTAAAAAGTACTTTGAGCTAAATTGTTTATGAAAGAAATTTTTGAAATACATATGCATTTCTCTTTAAATCAATAGGTTTGTGAAAAAACCTGATCCAAGAGGAATTCATAAATAGAAATGAAAAATACAGATGACAAAATATAGGGTCAAGTAAAGGAAAAATTGGTCTAATGAAGGAAATTCTAAGGCCTCAAATTAGGAAATTTTTTACAAGTAAAAAAATAAAATAAAAAGGAAAGACTGAAAAGGAACTTTGTTTAGTATCTAATGCTACTAATGAGGGAAGAGGAGACCTCGGAAAGGAATCTAAGACCTTTACCTTGTAGAACATGTCTCTCAGATCGTCTTTAGGATTCACCCAGGAGGCCACAGCATCACAGAAGAAGATGAAATCCTGGGTAACAATCAGGAAAAAAAGATCCAATTAGTGTAAAATCATAGAAGATGGACTTATGGATAATTTGATGATAAAGCTGCAGGGCTCGATGTCTCACCTGCACCACACCTCCAGGGTTCACGCCGATCATGATGCAAATCCCACGGAAAGCAGAGTCTTTCTCCTCGTTGTCTCGGATGTTGCGCAGTGACGTACACCTGGAGTGCAAGGAATGAATTAGCAGCAGATACCTATCATTTTCCCTAAGCTATGAGGTTTATTAGAGCTGAATAAATGTCCCACCACGGTCGGATAAACTGCGGCAGCATGGGAGCGACCTCCTGAGGGCAAACGTAGCCCAGTCTGCCGATGGTGATGGCTGCAACACAAGGACAGCAGGCGTCAAGCAGTAACAGTGGGAAACGTGGGGGATTGTGGAAATGCAAAAGTCTACGCACCTGTGTTCTCCAGCAGAGTTTTGGGTGTGTTTGGTCGGTTAATGATCTCAACTAGCTGGTTTAGAACCATAGCTATGTATGGCTGCATCTCCACTCCTGATGGAAGGAATAGAGAACAAGGACTTGAGATCTCATTGTTGAATAAGAACGTCACGGTAATGCAAAGCTGAAGGCACTAACCCATCTGCATGCAGATCTCCCCTATAGCCCAGGTGGCGTTGTTGCACACAGAGATAAACTCTGGGTTCAGATTTGTTCCAAGGATTGGCATAAATTCAGCTAAAAGAGAAAAAAACCAAAAAGAATCTAAATAAGGACAACAGTATATTTTCATCAGCTTACAATAAGAATCAGCAACCCATCCGAACCTGATGCAAAGTCTGCATTAGATATCTACCAACCTTAATCAGTCAGAATAGAGGGAATATTTTCTACAGTCACTTATTTCCTTACTTAAAACTAAGTAAATTTTAAACTTATGCATTGTTAATATGAGTATAAAGCTTGGGAGGACCAGAAAAGAATGATTACCAATGCATGGTTTGACATGAGGGAAGCAAGCCTTGGTCAGGTCACCCAGCAGGGCAAAGGAACTCTGCCTCACCTCTGGCATTGTATCCTGAGACAAAAAGACAAATAAATAAAACAGATAAATAAATAAATAAATAAATAAATAAATAAATAAATAAATAAAAACAGATATTAACTAAATCTACTGAGCATAAGAAATGTTCCAAACATTTTCACATCATCCAATTATCAAAAGGCCAAACAGAAAATAAACAGATTGATAAAAAGACAGATGCATGTAGGAGAGGATCAATAAGAGCCTGGGAACACCCTCCCTTTGAAGCTTGTCATATTGGGTCACTTTACACCCAATCATCAACAGTAGGGCTTCACTTTATCAGCAAAACATCTTATTACAAAGCTGTTGCAATAACAATGCTGATAATGAGCAACCGTTCTCTATTATCTCTCATGTTCTTCCTTGAACAAACGACGTCCTGTTGCCTTCAGCCTCTTAATCACAGAGTTAAAATCTGCCTAAAGGGTCACATGTATCATTTGCATGAGGAATTTGCATACAGTGCACTTTAAATATATTTTCCTAACAAATATGGACTCCAAGCAGACCTTTGTGTTGGCAATATTCACACCCCGATACTGTAGTGACATTAACTAACAATAGACTTTGCAGCTCTGGTAAATCCGGTCTATGTAGAACCCCAGCTGTTCTGTGATGGCCTCAAGAGGTTTTTTGGAAAACATTAGTGAACCAAAAGCATTGTAAAAAATATAGGATCACAGCGGAAACTTCAAGGAGAGAGATGTGGGGGACTTTAGAGCAGGGAAGGGTTATAAAACAAATAACCAAAGCATGGCAGAGTGGCAGCAGTGTTAAATATGGATGAGCTTGAATGCTAGCATAATTTATGTGGTATTTGTTAAACTAAATATTAGTGATAATGAAAAAAAAAATACAATTTTTTTCCAGTTTAAGGCAACAGTGCAACCGACTGCATGTTACTATATCCACAGCTGCTCAGACACAAATACTGCTTTAAAAAAAGAAAAAGGAACCTAATACATGCTTCAGAAAACTATCACTTGAGATTTTGGACAGTAGATTTGTTGAGACCCCAGAAAGATACACAAAACCATCTATACTCATCTGATTCACAAGTATGCACATATTATATATTAAATCAGAGCACGGGGATTAGGTTAGTGATGTGACAAAATGTGAATAAGCTGAATGGATGTGAATAGTTTTTGAAGGCAAAGCATTTCTGCAAAAGTATTGAGACTATATCACAAAATATTTTTCTGAATTTCAACATACTGTGTTTGAACATAATCTACAGTCAGTGCATCAAGTTAATTCCACAGATGTCATCACAGGAAGCGAAGAGAGTGGTGAACTTCACCAGACTTGTTAACGCCACTCACCTGCATGCACTGGAACAGCAGCGTCATAATATTGCTGCGAGCCACCAATGTGTCCACGTGGCCCCCAAGCCCCTCAGCCAAGCCGCTTAACAGGTCTAGGGCCACAATCATGAAGTCCTTGTCTGGTGCCTCATATTGGTCCGGCTGCTGACTATACATCTGGGAAACAAAGGAACAGGCTCTATGTCCATACATTGAAATGAAATGTGTGTTTTTTTAGGTCATGTAATGTAGTCTGGCTCACCATGGCCTGAGCCAACGTCTTCTGGACCAGGGTTACACACCGCTGATACACAGGCTCGCAGTACGGGAGGAAGCCGCTCTGCAGCGCAGTGGCAACAGACGACAGGCACTCAAGCAGAGGAAAGAGGTCCTTGTCCTCATCCTTCAGCTCGTTCCATTTTGCTATCAGAGGCGGCATCAGCTTCTGAATGTACTCCTAAAAAACCCCAAACGTTTGGTGTCAGGCTGTGTGTACGTGTGCAGGTGTGTAAGTGTGAGACGGTTGAGCTCACAGGTTGGTTGAGGTGGTGTCCCACAGAGTCGGCCAACGTTCCTATGGCATCATAAAGAATCAGCAAGTTCTTGTGTTGATATTTCCCGAAAGCAAATACCAGCGTGTCCAGGATGAAGCTCAGATAAGGCACCAGCTCTGTACATGCTTCCTCTTCCAGGGTGGCGAAAGCACTGAGGGTGACAAGACATGGGTTAGGATAAATGAGCACGGAAAAAAAAAAAAAAAAAAAAAGTAGCACAGACAAAAGTGAAGAGCTGCACCTGCATGCTGCCTCCTGCACCCTTTTGTTTCCATCCAGGATGCGTTTAAGCAGCTCTGTCATGAGGGGCTTGAGGTGATTATCAGGGGGCTGGCTGACCACCCAGTGGGCATAGCGACTGAGAGTCCAGCAGGCAATGGAGCGCACCAGAGCCTTCTTGTCACATAAGCACTGGATGAGATGTGGAATGAGCTCTGGCAAGTATGGCACCATTCCCTGCATGCAGCCTGAAACAAGGAGAACCTTTATGCACCTTGCTCTGGAACTAAAAGGTTAGATTTTAATGTAATTTTGTGAATTTGTGCAACCTTCAGCAATGGCCCCCAACACCAAGATGCCAGACTCCTTGATGACCCAGTCAGGGTGAAACAGCAGGCCTTTGAGCAGAGGCAGGAGATGGGGAAGCAGCTCCTCACGGAAGACGTTGGCCAGAACGTCCAGAGCTGCGGCCGAGCACTTTCCTGGGAGAAGGAAAAAACATTTACAACAAAAACCAGAAATCCTCCTTTAAAGTCAGATCAACTTGCATGCTACTCAGATTAATATACTTATAATTCCGACATCAGATTTTCACCAAATATGTCCCGTTACAACAGTCAGCAAGAACATCGATTTACTAATAAGTTGACTTCTGAGGGAATCACAGTGGATTGTATTTATGGGTACCAGAGTAAAGGCAGCTTGATGCAAATAATGCCACAAACGTTTGTTTGTTTGTTCACCATATGATTATTTACTGCTTTGCATTGATCTCTGAAATAAAGCCTCACAAAAAACATCAAATCTTAAACTCTAATCTAATGATTAGAGTAATTTCTTGGCTTTCTAGCAGAAGAAGCCAAACTTTTCCATTCAGCCCTTGTGTCTTTTTAACAACACCATTCCTTCAGATGGTTCTAGAAGACAAAACGTAATAAAAAAATAAAAGTTTCACCTAAATACAGGGCTTTTTTTAATGTGGTCAGTAAATACATGGTTCAGGTGTTGGGATGATTGATAGATAAATAAATAAAAAATAAAAAAAAATAACAGCCAAAATAATAAAGGGACATCATTGATGGGTGAGGAACAAACAAATTGACAGATGAGTGGCAGTGGTCAAGTGGGTCGCTGAAATGGTGAGCAGGAGGGTGGATATACAGTTTAGAGACTAGACAGATTGACAGTGGATAAGCAAAGGTTTAATTAGATGGATGTACTGATGGATCAAACCATTAATAGATGAACAGATGGAGGAACAGAAACCCGCAACACACAACAAATCGGTAGTACTCAAACCTGCTCCTAACATACCACTACCCTGCATGTTTTAGATCCCTGTGTTGCAGCACAGCTGCTTCAAAAATTGCATGAAGTCCTCAGGAGGTATCAAACGCTGCAGAATCCTTATTATCGTGCTTTTATATAAGCAGGTATGAGGCAGCAAGGAGAAATGAAAAAATGCACAGGACAGTGCTACTAGAGGACAGGATGGTAATACTGCCACTCTGTATGCAGATACACAGGGGTGGCAGCATGACATGAGGCATTATTAAGGCTGTTGCTTTATTTCTTGTAAGCCATGCCACTTTCGAATGCTGAAGCATGTTAGAGACGCGAACCATGATAGATAATCAAAATGTGAACTACGGGGCAAGTAAACAGTATTGTTTAATCTATTAACTCGTATAGGTTTTATATGCATATATAGTCCTAAATGATTGTCTCAAACTTAAAATGAACGTCAATTTAACATGACATCAGCATTTTTACAAGAATGCAAGAGAAATGTGCCAACTTCATTGTTTAAATGGATGTAGCATAACATTTTTAAAGCTACATGTTTTGAAAATGTCCTTCTCACCAACACATTAATCAGAGCAAATCGCAGCTGCCTTAGATAGCTTGTGCTTTCTCTTGCTGATGCTCAGTGCTTATTTACAAAGTTCCCTCTCAATCATTCCTTTTAGCCTTTTTTATACCCCATTAAACCCAACGTGATTTTTTTTTAATTGATTGATTGACTTTATTGAACCCGCAGTGGAGAAATGTACTCGCTACATCAGCTCAAATAGTCAAAGAAGAATGTGCCAAAGGAAGAAAAAGGTGCATTGATATATACATCATATACGGTGTGTCCACATATGACAGCTTTTTTTTTTTTTTAAATACTAGGATCATTATACAGGGTTATAGTAGTAATATGCTAAGCTAAAGCCTAAACCTACATACAGCAGGGCTCTTTGAACTATTAAAACCATGCCTTTATGCTGCTGTGCAACGCAATATGGGAACTATCTATGCCTAGGAACCCTGCATGGTTCTCTTCATAACCAGATCTAGTTGTGTCAATAGCTTACGAAGATTCCAGTCAGACAGCGTGTCGTCATCATCATCCTCATCCTCGTCTATGTCCTCCCCCTCCTCGCCCTCCCCTCCCTCGTGTTGCAGAGTCACGGTGCGAGATTTGTGGAAGCGAGGCTTGATGTCCTGCTCGCTGTCTGGGATCGTCTCATCCTCCTCAACATCACCCTGGAGGACATCGAGACAAATTTCAAAGTTAAATAAACTCCAAGTGAAGGTTAAGGAAGGAAAAAGTGGGGGTTAAACAAGAAAATGTTTACTTTTAGAAGAATAATGTCTATCTCAGAGTATTTCATCCCATTCACCAGGATAGGAATCAATCTAAAAAAATAAAAAATAAAAAAACAAAAAAAAATAAGTCAGGTGAGATCATCTTTTCATCATCTTAGTCCATCCAGCAGCAGGTCTCCACTTACTGAACCAGGTGACCAGACAGCGCCTCTTTACAGATAGGCTGTTCAGCCAGAGTGAGCCAGAACTCACAGGCTTCCAGAGCCACGTTCTCATCTGGGTCCTGAGTCCGTTGTAGCATGTACTGCAAGCAAGATAAAAAAAAATAAAATAAATAAACACACACACAAAAAACCCAGTTGATGGCGAGAACTGGATCTACGACAGTAACAGGGCTCCATGAGTTTCCTCACCTGAATGATGCTGTGCATGTGTGGGATGAGACGATCGATGCGGACTTCCAGCAGCATGACCAGAGCCCTACAAACGTTCTTCCTCACTTCACTATCTTCATCACCAGCCAGTGCAAACAGACTCTACAAAATGGTATCAGATGACAAGAGGGATAAATATACTGTATGATCTGGTGAACTGTAAAGTGCCACGAGATGACATGTGTTGTGAATTGACGCTATATAAATAAACCAAATAGAATTTAATTGAATTGATTTAAGTCTAGTGCTTGAAGATTGGAGCTCATGAAGTGAGACCTAAAGCTGAAGAACTGCCAACTTGATGGATGCGTGAGAGAGCAGCGCCAGCAGATGGTGACACCGTGCAACGTTTATGTCTACTGTTAAAGTTGGTACAAAAAATGATCAGGCTCGAAAGGTACTTACAATATCAGGATAAATGTTGTTTCAATATATTAACTATTAATGTATTTTACATATGATTTATGTTGTTTTCAATACATGACTTAGGCCCTTTAATTTGCTGCATGCAGCAGAATAAAATCTTATTTAACATCTCTGAAATCCTGACATGAAAAACTTGGTCTGGCTTAATCTACCTTAGAAACTCGTTGAAAACAAAGTTTGTTCCCCATTAAAATAAAGACAGTGTAAATGATTTGTTTGGATTAAAACTGGACACAAAATAAAGAAACCAAGGATGGGTTGGAAAAGATAAAAATAACAAAAACTGCACATAAAAGCCCTCCTTTTTCACCAAATTCAGGCCTATAAATTAATCAGATTTAAGTCTATACTTTAAGACTATGGTGACTCTGAATACTTAAGACTGGTATGTATAAAAGTATACTGAGAATTTGTCTTCAGAAAGTATTAAATTCAGTATTGGGAAGTAGATTAATGAGGAGCATTTCAGAAACAATCAGCACTTCCAGAGTGCTTTACACACTTTACCTGGAAGGAGAATTAGATTTATTATGTTTGGTGTTTTGCTGCTTTATACAGAATTAATAACTGAGGAAAAAACAAAATAAAATTATTGATGAGGCATCATAGAAAAGTGAGGAGTTTGAGATGAAGTTGAATTCTAGAAGACACAAAATCGTGTTGGATTTTTCTTTTATTTTCTTATAGAAACTTAAATTAAGTATGCACTAATTCCATGGAACAAACAGACCAATGTTTACAATGATGTCAACTGTACAAAAAAAAAAAAAAGATAAGAGGCCAAAGAAAATGTAAAGTGACAGCGCTGTAATCATTCTTCTTTTTGTTTTAACATGGCAGTAAAATCCAATGTTTTGTTTGTTCTTTCTATGGATCTAGAAAAAGGAAAAGGTCAACCTTCTGATGGTGCACATTAGATTTTCGGCTGATCAAATAAAAGATAAACGTGGGTGAATTTTACAATTGAATAAGTGATATAGTATATCTTTTAAATTGAGTTATATTCAAAGGCATATCAGTCCCAGAACCTGGAAGGTTGGTATACATTTGTTTATCTTCAGAGATGCAGCTGGAGACAGCTCTGTAACTTTGTTTTACTGTAAACATTTTATTGCCCCCTGCTCTATCTTCAAGGAATCAAAGTATTTTGTTGGTATTAATATTTTTTTTTTTTTTTATAAAAACCTTAAACTGCTGAAGTCCAGAGATGGGCCCTGCCCTGTTATAAATTCCTCCCTCTTCCAAACACATTATTCTATCAGTTACATCTACTTGTCAGTACAACACTAAGTTTAACAGGACTTTTCTAACATCTCAGCTCCACACAGAGACAGATATTAAACATTTAGGACGCTGGCCCCCATGCATTACACACAGAGAACTGAAATGCTCTAATCCTATTTTCACTGATAAAATAAGTGAGATTCCCTGAACTAACGAGAAGAAATTTTTTTATTTCTCACCTCAATAAAAGTATCAATGTTGTCCATCAGAGCCTGAGCTCTTCCAATGATGAACTGGTTCACACAAGCAATAGCATGGGACCTGAAGAGAAACAAGATCAGGAGCTCATGAACAGGACTGAATAATTGGAAGGGGGCGGCATCATGACAGAAAAACAACAGGGATTAACAAACCTGATCTTAGGGCTGCAGTGTTTAAAGAACTGGAGAAATTTAGGGATCATGATGTTGAGTGGTCTGTTTAGAGCGTCGCTGTCCAACAGCTCAGAGGAATCCTCGCAGATCTTCTGGAGTGCTCCAAAAGAGCCCTAAGAGAAGAAATCAGAAAGCTACAAATAAAGGAACAGTTTTAGACTGCATTTTAATGTCAGATAACTGAGTGGAGGTCGTACCTCGCAGGTGTTATAGTCCTCAGAGTTTAGCAAATTACAAAGTTGAGGCAAGAGTTCTGGCCAAGTCTGCAGCTCTCCTTTAGAAGCTATAGTTGTGATCAAAATCCCTACACGACAGAAAGAACGTTCATAAAACTTTCAGTTAGTTTAAAGTTACCTATTTAACAAAACTTAGTCCATGTTAGTCTGTAAAACACTGTTTTGAGCACCGACACACATACTTTTGGTGCAGAAAGTTTGCCTGCTACATCGTAGAATGACTAGCAGTCACTACAACCTAAATGTCAGCTGTATTTTAGAATCTCCCCCCAAACTTTCTGCCACGCCCTCACCAATTGTAGCTCTAATAAGCGGCGAAGGATCTCCGATGTTGTTGAGGCATTCCCGCTTGATGAAGTCAGCCACGTTGGGGGGGAAGTTCTGATAGTGAGCTTTCACATTATTCTTCAAAATCAGACCACTGAGAGACCGAGTGGGTTCATCTTCAGAGAGAGACAGAAAGAGGGCATGAAACAGCATTTTTACATGTGGGGAAACACAATAGCAGACATAGAACTGAAATGATAGCCTAATATCAACAAAGCTCATAAGACAAATCTGTAATATTCACAATATAATGCTGGAATGTATGTTTTTCAAACACAAACCTACCCTCAGACTTGAGGCTTGTGAGGACAAAGATGAGATAGTTGTTGAAGTCAGGAAACTGGTTAAGTTGCTCCAGTTTCTAGGTCATCTGTTAAGGAGTTCAAACATCCCTGCTTGGCGCAAATATCTGTTAAGTCTCATCTAACTTACTTTGTTTGGTATGCATGCATCTCCCACATATGCTAAAAAATCTAGTCCAGGGCTTTGGTTGGGGAAAAGTTGGGATCCATAACAAGGCCAATAAAGAGACAGTGGACAAATACAGATGTGTACACACCAGTATTTCCCAGAGTCCCACTTTTAGGGGTCACTGTCCTTCAAGCCTAATACAAAACACATGTACTTTTGTTTTTGTTCTCGTAACCATGGGTGGACAGGTAGAAATCTTCCATCATTTCCCATACTAATCCAGGCCCCAGAAAAGTGTTAAATCAAATCCCATACATTTATAGACAGCTTAAGAACCCGGGGCCTTGTGACGAAGTAGGAGTACTCACAGATAACAACCCAATATGCAGACAGAACATGCAAAATCCACAATGAAAAGCTGCAGCTTGGATTTGCACCACAAGACCTTCTTAGGATGCAACAGTGTAAACTGTTATGCATCCTTAATTAGGGTTTAGGCAGAACCAATTAAAACATGGACTCAGCTCAGCAGCCATGGGTAAACAAGGATCTCCTTCATGCTTCAACACAGACTGAGAGGTAAGGATACTTCTTGCACAGCTCTCTGAGTGGCCGTGTCTGGGGACTGGGAATCTTTGAGCAGCTGAAGCACTTGCTGCAGACCCTGTTCGTCTGGCTGCCACTCCATCCTGTGAAGATAACACATTGATGAGCTGCTAGAAAGGCATCCGACAAACGCCGATAAGTGCTCTGTCACACCTGCACGTACAAAACAAGCAAGCCGTACAGCTACGACAGAGGGGTATCCATTATACTATATGTTCAGAACAGAACCTGGCTTTAGGAATCCGGAAAAAAAGATGTTTTAAATGCTAAAAATGATTGGTGGAAAAAAAAAATCGGTTATGTGATACCACTGGTTAGAAAAATGTCCTACTTCCATGGTTAATAATCCCTTGATAACAGAAGCAAACGATTACCTTTGCTGAATGTGGATCGGTGTGTCTTAATAAGTTACGATCTAGGAAAGCCTCTTTGAGGCCCAGACGGCGCAAATGTCTCTTAGACATTTAGCTAGCTAGTTAGCTAGCTTAGCGTCAACACTGCGTATTCGAGGTTTTTAAACAGACACTGAGCGTAAATTACTGATTTCACGTCGCGCTGCAGTAAATCCGAGCGTATACTCAACGCCACTGAGAGCCCGCTTTTGTTTTTGTACTCATAACAAACCAGACGGACATTAACTGAAAGCTACATCAAGTAGCATATTAGCTAGCAGTATGAAAGTAGCGCGAAAGGTTTTACCTGGTTCCTCCGGTGTGCTGGGTCTATAATTAAACAGAAAAAGGTGTAGCGAGGCTGTAAAAGACTAACATTAAAGGAAACGTCTAAACTGAAAAAAATGTTGTAGCCTCTGAAGGTCTGTTTGCTACGCTAGCTTGTGTGTGACAGAGATTGCATGCTTTGCGATCAAGCCGGGTGACCTGTTTAGTTCTCGCCGGCTTCCGTAGTGAAAACAGAAATCAGCCAGGTGATTGCGCAGACAGGTGGGCTTAGGTGGGTTTGTTTGTAATCATGAATACAACAAATATTTTTTAAAATATATTTATATGTGTATGTTTGTATTTTCCAGACTAACATGTTTGTTTAATTTGGTGAACGCTAAACATGACTTGTTTTTGCGTTTTGTTTTCCACCACCAGATGGCGCAAGTTTCAGGATTAGTGTAATTCTGATTGATTCTTATTAATTCATGCAGATGCAACAGGTATATTTAAACCATATATATATTGTATGTATATATATATATATATATATATATATATATATATATATATATATATATATATATATATATATATATAATTGCTTTACAATTATAAAGTTAAAATGGAACTCTTGTGAAGAGTAAATGATCACATTGATCATGCAGTTTTTTTTTACCTGCTTATAAAAAATTTTGCCAAAGTTTCATACAAGCATATATTATATGTTACTTTAAAAGAACCTATATTGTTATAATTTTTTTCTATTTAATGTTTTGTGTCTTTGACGCCAGTGTACTTTATACTATATTCTTTAACAATCCCCAATCCAATAATTGAATTTCTCTCTCAAAAAAAAAACAAAAACAATGATTATCATAAGAAACATGAGTTTCGAGTTAATGGGAAAAAAAGCTTTATTTCATAATAACTGACTCAAAACAGTGCATTTATAATATATCATATTTATCATGTTTGTGACTCAGTGCTCTTCAAAGTCATCACTCCTTCCTTTATTTTGAAATCCTTGACAACATGGATGGTGAACAAAGAGTTTGTTTAAGTGGAATTGTATTTAAATGCACAAAATAATATTATTTGCACAGGAACAGACTAAAAATCTAACTTTATTGTGTATTTTCATCTTTGACAGTCTCAGTAACACATTTTGTGATAGATGTAAAAATCAAAGAGTTTAATGTGAAGTTTTAAAAAACTCTTCATGCCAGCCAGTGAGGGAGATAACAATGTTTATTCAACAAAGAGAGCTGATCTCACTTCTGCCACAGCCCCACTTGCAGCAGATGTTGGACAGTCCAACCTCTACTTCTTGTTCGTTGCTGTTTGTGCCCTGTAGAGCCTCTGGTATCTCTTCAATGAGCGGTGAGCGAGCTGAGCGGCTGATGCTGGCAGCATTCAACACTTGATCTTTCCATGCTTGGGAATTAGGATGATCCTGCTCAGATGGTTGGGGGATTGAATTTGTCCTCCATGGATCAAGAATCTTCTCACCAATAAGAGCTGATTAGAGGGAGAACATGTGTCATAATTCTGATTTGACCTCTGTGAAGACATGGAACTTTTAAATGAAATGTGGTGATTTTTCATAGGAGAGTGTATATTTTTTCTGCTTTTTTATGTGCAAACGTTAACATGTCTTTCCTGAAATCTTCTTATTGAAGTTATTCTGTCAGCTACAGGATGGAGAAGTAAGCAGGTTGTGACAGATGTTGTAACAGGGCTCTAACTTCAGTAAGTTTTATGAACTGGGGGTAACATGTAGCCCAGGAGCATCCAAGATTTACGCAATCTCTAAACTCTTAATTGATTTAAGCCATTGCTTTTGCATGAATACTATAAATTGTCACAATGCTTGCATTGGGTTGGTATTTATAAAGGAGCTCAACACATGGAAGTGGTGGATCCCTATTATGTTCTTAATGGGATTTATAATAACTGTCATAAAGGGGAGCAAATAAACAAGGAAAGTATTCAACCGAGAGTGGCAGGAGGAGCTGAGCGGCTGACACAAGCTGCAATCATCACTTGATTTTTCCATGCTTGGGAATTAGTAGGATCGCTAAGTTTAATTTGGTTCACATACCACTGGGATTAACTATTTATTTAGTCTATGTTTCACACAGAAAGCACAGGCACTGCCTGATGCATTTGATCTAAGTTACACAGGTTAACTGTAAGCTGTGTCTAAAGTTTTCAGACCATTGTGTCTTTTCAAGGAACTCATTGGAGATACACAGATCACATTTTCCTATTTTTGGTACTGAAATATATGAAAAATAATGGTTTTAGTGCATCCATTGATTAGAAAATCTGAATCAGACTTTTCCTTTCAGACCATCACCAATCAGAGAAATCAAGGGGGGGAAAGTGTCAAATTTTAATCCATTTCAAAATAAGGATATTAGATTCTATTCTCTATCCCCCTCTATAAAATAAATGGATAAAAGAGCTCCATCATTCTATGTGCAATAACTCATCATCCTTTTAAACCTTTAGCACTTTGTTTTTCTTTTGTTGCTGCTTTAATTCATGTTTAGTTTATCTGTGTATTTCTTACACCTGTCTTTACCTTGCCTTTAAGATTAATTTTCATTTTTTATTCTTTCTCTTTCTTCCACCATGCCACCTGCAATACACCTCCCTCTGTGTCTTTTTTATTTTCTATTTCTTTTGTTCTTGTACAGCACTTTAATTGGTCTTGCTGCTAAAATGTGATATAAATAAACTTAGACTGCCTCTGCTACTTTTAAACAAATTTTGTAATTTCTTGTGATTTTTGCTAGTTTTTTTTATTTACAACGAAAATGAAAAAAATGACTGTTAGGTACAGTAAAATACATCAGACATTTAACGACAAGAACAACCCTATATTTAGGGTAATTTTATTTTTTTATCATCTTACCTGTGTCTTCCACTCTTCTTCTCCAGCGAGAACCGCCACATGTAAAGATGACGGCGCGTATAAATTCTCTTCCACACAGTTTTACTCCATAGAAAGAAGAATGGCCATCAGTACCCTGAGCAAGGTGTACAATTGCAATGAATAAGCCTAATGTCAACAGTACTGCTTTCATCATGCTGACAGAGTGAGTCTATCTGTTGGTGAAATTTTTTGAATGGTCTCATCACTTTATAAAGGCTTGGACCCCAGCTAAGTTTCACTTATCAGCATCCTCAGAGATAAAAATGGAGACCTTTAGGCATAACAATACTGGAAGGGAAAAGAACTGATGTTAACAGAACTCTTGCTAATCTAATCACCCATGACCTTTAGTTGGCCTTTCAGTCCATCACATCTCTCAGGTTGTGCTGTTTGTCATCATCTCTGTTTCTTTTTGGTATCTGTTCCACTGTGCATTGAAAGGAGTTCACATTCTATCCCTAGACCATACGTCACATGTAACACAGCCCTCATCACTGGTAAACAACTTCAAAATTATCCTCTATCGCTGTTATTGTTTTGTTCAGAAATATGGGAATGGCTTCATGATTGGGTGAAAACACATTCACACATTATTATCTATAGTGTATTTCAATTGGATTTTAATGTGAGAGACCTTGTGTTATAGACTATCACAAAGTAGGGCACAACTGAGAAAAAAGAGATTTTGTTTTTTCTGGGCATATTCTGAAAAGTGTGGGATGTAATCAAAAGTTGGATTGGGTCCATTAAAATGACCTGGCTATTTGTGGTTGAGGCGGTCCACCATATTTAGTTATATTTTATGCTGAGAAACGTAGCATACCAGGGGACATATTCACACATTTACTGGTTTAAAAAAGAATTATATTGTGAACGAAATGAATCAAGCGTTACATCATTGTGATGTGTATGCAAAAGCTGATTGGCCTCCTTTAAGTATTTGGAGAAACAATCATTTGATGATCCTAATATATAAATCTCTCCTTGCACTAACACCAACATACATGTTCCTCGTGTTCGAACTGATAAAGGAAAGAAAGCATTCAGTGTGTTGGCTCCTACAGCCTGGAATCAGCTCCAATCTGAGCTCAAGATATCAGACGCTATTTCATTGTACTTATTTCGTGCGGTTCTTAAAGATAGACAACAAGCTTCTATGAAACAGTGCCACTGCTTTTAAATTGTTTTTATTGTTTTATATTTTGTGCATATGTAGTAATTGATTTTTTTTGTAACCAGGTTGCAGTGTATTGCAGATCTCTGCCCTGGTTCCCCTTGAAAATGAGATCTCAACGAGGTTTACCTGGTTAAAAAAAGGAAATTAAAAAAATAAATAAATAAATAAGTGTATGAATACTATCTGTCAGAGGTGAGGTACAACTTTCTGTGATAAGATTATATAGAAATATAATATAATATATTAAATGACTAATAATAAATACATTTTTGATAACCGTATGACAATCTTGGGTTGCACCAGAAAAGGGTGTCAGCCCATCGGACATATGCCTTGCATACCATATGGCCAGTCTAGGCCATTGGGTATGCAAGGCATGCAAACATCTGGTTTGAAGTCTCTAACAGGTTTTTCTCCGGGGTTTCTGTGCATTGTATCCCCACAAATCAATCTTTGAACTCTGACTAGCTCTGGTTTTCAAAACTTATTTCAGCAGGATGATTTTGTCACCTGAAATGTTTCTCACTGATGATGTAGCTTAAAGAACGGAAGAGCAGTGGGGTTTTCGTCCTGTTTGTGGAACACTTTAACAGCTCTACACCCTCAGCAGAACCCATGAGGGTGCATGAAAGTTTGCCCAAACAGTATACATGTGCTTTGTGGACTTTGAAAAGGCGTTCCACCAAGTCCCTTGGTCCATCCTGTAGGGGGTACTCTAAGGGTATGGGGTACCAGGCCCCAAGGACTTCTAGGTCCCTGTATGACCGGTGTCAGAGATTGATCCAACTCGTTTGTGGTAAGATTTTTTTTACAAGCGTGTCTTTTCTCAAAGATTTTGTTCACAACATTTATGGAGGCAGCAAAGTTGTTAAGTGGAACCGTTTTGGTTGCCTTACTTATGTCTCTGCTTTCTGCAGGTGATGCGGTCCTGTTGGCTTCATCATGTCAGGATCTACAATTCTCCCTGCAGCGGTTTACATCCAAGTGTGAAGTGGCTGGGATGAAGAGCAGTGTCTCCAGACCAGGGTCTCTAGCGGGAAAAGGATAGAGTGCCCTCTCTGGGTCGAGGAAGATGTGCTGACCCATGTGGAGCAACCTATGTATCTCTGGCAGAGGTGGAGCCATAAAATCCTAATAGGGTGGCCGAAAGGCACCAGAACCACGGGGTCAATCTACACTGTTCCAACAGGAATGAGCAAAACATCCATATTTTCTAAATAAAGAGAAACTATACTTTCCTGCAGCCTTTGCTAACAAATAGACGCATATATTTAAACATCTATGCTGTGTAAATAAACGGTACAGAGGACAAAATTCTTTCATGTTTGAGTCCTGCGGAGAAAACATTTTACATTGCCATTACCTACTTTTATCAGTAATCATTCTGAAAAAATGGTATTTAAATCTACTTTCCACATTTAATGAATTTTTATGTTATTATTAAAGTAGTTATTTATCTATGATTTCACTGAAGACTCCTCGATGACTTGCAGAGGCACATAATTTCATCTTTACCTCAAATAATTCAAAATTTAGTTCTGAAAAGAGCATGAATTCTCTATCTATCATCTTTAATGTTTGTATATTGATGTGCATAATTAACCACAGTGTTTCTGTTGCCAAGTAGCTATTAATATATGAAAAAAATAAATGTTTCATAAGTTTTAACATTCCCCTTCAGAGTATTAATACGGCTACCATCTGTATTAGAGGGAAAAAAATGGTAGGGGTGGCCACCTCTGCCCCCCCTTCTAGCTTTGCCCCTGATCTCTGGGTCTTGTTAATGACAGGAAAAAAATGCAGCTGTAAAAATCGATAAGCAAAATAACTGATGCTGCTTCTGCAGCCTATCATGGTAAGTAGAGAGCTGAGTCAAAAGACAAAGCTCCTGATTTAACGGTCAATCTATATTCCTACCCTGATCTATGGTAAGGAGGTTTGAGTCCTGAACGAAAGAATGAGATCATGCATACAAGTGGTGGAAATGATTTTAATCCGCAGGGTGTGTGGGTCCTCACTTGAAGATAGGGTGAGAAGCCTGGCTATTTGGGGGATTGCTTTTCCATGTGAGGAAGATCCAGCTGAGCTTCCCTGGGCATCTGTTTAAGATGCATGTAGATAAGAGGCATGTACCACCAGAAGAAGACCCAGGATGTGCTGGAGGGACTATGTTTGTCAGCTGGCCTAGGAACACCTTGGGATTCCCTTGAAGGAGTAAGGGGAGTGACTGGGGAAAGGGAAGTCTGTTCCTCCCTACTTAGTCAGCCATTCCTGCAACCCAACCCTGGATAAGCGGAAGATGGATGGATTATTTGCGTTACTATAATTCAGCCATAATGTTTTGTATGCAGACTGCCATCTTGGTCTGATCTGACAAGATCCCCTTCTTTTTATTTTCAAACTATAATACTTTTATAATTTCACATTATCTACCTGATGCAAATATATCAACCACTAGAAAAACAAGACTTCAAATTAATTAAAGATGACATCATAAAGACAAATTTAGAGGGTATGAATATTTCAGCAAGGCACTGTACCTCAGATCCTGGTTCCTTATGTGTTTCACAAAGCAATAAAGCTCACCCTAAATGGAAACAGCATACAAGTAAGATAAAAACTGGTTTAGTATAAGTAACTAGGGCAGCATAGACACCTCCCTGCTCAGCACCAAATGGTTTCTGAATTATGGTGAGTGACCTAAACAAACTGTCTTTCACAAATTGTTACATGATTTTACTCTGGCTTATTACTTGGCTTTAATATAATTTTAGTAAATGTGCTGAGAGAAGAATGTCTTATATCGTTCAGTATTGCAACAGAATTGTGAAAATGTGATTATTCATGCATTAAATAATGCCAAGTAACAACTTGGAACCAACCCTGATTGATAAAACGATATAATTATCAACTACGCTTAATCATTTCCAAGTTAACAAGTGGAAGGTCTGTGCAATTTGCAATAAAGTCAATTTACAGCCCCACAAGTGGTGCTTTTGGATTAGGCCTCGGCGAAAGTTACAGACATGAACTTCCCACCAATCAACAACCGAATATTTTACTGACGTCACAACCACTTCACCCATAAGCCAATCAGCTTTTAAAGAGGGGCGGTATAATATACAGAGGGTAGCAACAGTTGCCCCGGTGAAGGCTAGGCGCCATAGTCACGGTAGTCCTGGCGACAAGAGCCAAGCAACGGGAGTCAACAACAACAAGCGGGATCAAAGGGAATAAACTTTACCGACTGTTCGGGACAACACCGCGAAATACAGGTGAAAATATCTAAGAAGCGATAAATTAATTTAAGTGTTGATTACATGTGTTTGCGTGTGTGTTTTACGAGGAAACGTGAAATCGGTCGAACGTGTCGAGAGATGAAAAGTGGTTGCTAGCTTCTTTCCAAACGCAGACCGTTGTTATGGCGATGTCAGATATTTGATAAGAGCACAAGATGGCGGCTGGCTTCTAGTCCCAATCGTACTTTTTTTCTTAGCACCATCCGTCCTAATGTCCGTGTGTGTGTGTTTTTTTTTTTTTTTTTGACAATTTAGACTGCAACGAAACTGCAACGACACGTGATTGGTTAGCATGGTTGTCTGTGCGATTATATAGGAAGCCAGTAGTTAGCTAGGTTCCTCTAACGTCATGAATCAACATAGGCTCGCTTGCGAGAAAGGCTACGTATCACTCTCGCTCATCAAGCGGCTGTCCAGCTGCGTTAATCTTCAACGGAAGTCCATTGCTCACACATTTCGAGAGTGTACGGGTTCTGAAAACGAGAGAGGCGCGTGTTTAACTATCTTTTTACGACTTTTAAAAAGTTTTTGGTGTGACATTGAGTTCTTGAAGTCACTCGAGAGCGCACGGTGTGCCACATGATCAAGGGATTGTAGGGAGTGGAGAGTATGGCAGGCCGTTTGTCAAATAATTCTTCTGACGCATACATACTGATAAAATCAAAGATCTTTATTTTGATAAATATATTTTCAGGGTTAAGCTACTTGCATATATATTTTTTTTTTTTTAGATATTAAGGGCACATCTGAGGCTCCAGTGATTTATGAACTAGATTACAGTGGTAACTATATAAATAAAGTTTTCAAACTCTAGTCGATCTCCTTGCAAATTATGTGTGTTAGTCAGAGTACAAATATTTTCTTTAGTTATTATTTTATCCACCACAAAGGTTAATTCTTTAAATGACAAAAGATGTCATACCTCCCATTTCTTTGTTTTGAATTAAACGCCCACAGATATAATTTACAGAGTTTAAAAATGTAGAGATGGTTAATTAAAGACAAACTATCATGGATGGGGAACATAATGTAAACATGTTTTCAAATATTTTTTACTGTCATGCAGATATAGGCCTAAAAAGAAAAGTGTATTTTAAGACTACTTCTCTAAAGTAGTAATGTCTTTCCCTAATGGTAATTTACAAAACTAGAAAAACACACATTTCCCACTTTAAGATATTTTACCACAGCATTTAAAGGAAGATTACACAATAATATCATGCTCATCCTTTGCCATTTTATTGATCTTAATGAAACAAATCAAAACTAAAAAAATTATCATTTAAGTTATACATTTGCTCACAAGATAAAATGAGACACAAGCCCCTCTGCAGAGCTAAAAGATCATATTACGGCGGCTCATGGAAGATGTAAAGCGGCAGAGGACCTATGCATTTGTATTTGCACTATACTATATCACTAAGGCCTGTATACAGTTTTCATCTGGCCACAGATAATGTTTAACGTTACTTGGTCTCAATTTGATTTATGTTACAGTCCATAACTGACTGCATTCTCTCGTCATCATATCCAACTCTCTGTATGTATGTATATTACTTGAACTAAAGTTTTGCAACCTATTGAAATGTGTAAGCCCACATAACTATTTCATAGCCTTCTCTATGTTTTGTCAGGTTTATTATAAATGTGCTTGCCATACTTGGCTTTTGGCCAAGTAGGATGGCCCAAAGAACAGCCTGACAGTTTAAGTTATTAGCATGAGTTTAAATCTGGGTTATGCTGTATTCATAACATGTTTCTTTCCTTTTAAAGTGCATGTTGTTTTAGTTCATCTAAGATATTGTTCATGTAATGTAGAAAAGGCCATTTACTAATAATGTTCCTATTTAATCCTTCTCACATATCAGACCAAAACAGGAAAAGGCATTACTTTACTGCTTTGGTCTTAGACAAAAGTCCACTTCCTTTCCTGGTTTATATTGCATGTGAACACACACCAGCACGCCCACACACAAGTGTGCAATTCAATCCATATTAAGACTTCACATTGACTTTAGTTACTGTATTTATGCCTAACCTTGACCATTATCAGTACTCTAAAGTAAAAAATGGGGACCCGCCACATTAGGAACAGCCTTTAGTCCCAATAAGAGAGTCCTAAATAGGTAACACAAACAAGTACTCACACACAAACACACCCTCGTCTTGTGTTACATACTGAGAACCACGTATTCTTCCATCAATTTTCAGACATTTCCAACCCTTTCTTTGCCCAAACTTACTTCAACTTAAACTCGCTGCACACTTTTTCTAAGCCTAACTTTTTAATCATTTGAAAGTGGAGACTAGAAAAATCACTTTGGTACAAACAGTTCTCAGTTTGATGGTTTAATCGGGGAAAATGGACCTCACTCTGATTCCAAAACAGGAACACCCACACAGATGGTTCCACACAAGGTCCACTTATGTAAAACATTAAGAGTACAGATAATAAAATAATTAAGCAATCTGTATTTCAGAGTATGTTTCTGACGCTTTATTTAACGAGCACTGCATCCTTTTTATCCACAGAACTGGTGCCTTAAATGATTGGTTGCCATGGCGACTTGTGGATACTCTGAGGACCTTCAGGCTCAGCAGGCTAACACAGTAACCATAGCAACACCTGCTACCACCACACCCTCATCTGCCAAGACTGCACACTTCCTGTCGGAGATCCCGGCAGCCTCTGGAAGCATCTCATCGGCCAGCCAAGCAGCCGTGGCCTCTAAAACTGGACAGGATGCACTTTGTTCACAAGCGCCACCCACCCAGAGCCAGAAGGCAGTGGTGCCAGCTACGTCCACACAGCACTACATGGGTCAGGACATCCAGAAGAGCAATGGACAGAGCCCTTCGACCAAGTACATTATAGTGACTGTTACAGGTGAGAGGATGGGGAGTAACCTGGAGAAGACGGATGTTTAATTACGTCACACAAACTAAGTAGCACATTCATTTCTATGCTCCCTGTTCTGTTTGACCCTTAGGTAAACCCAGTCTGTTTATTTAACGTCAGTTGGTTGATTGTTTGATCAGCATGAAGTATTAAGCTCTTATTCATAAAGCAGAAACTAGACTTCTTTTTTCATTTAGTTTTCTATTGTAGATACATTCACCTCATTCCCTTTATATGACTTTTGGAAGTTGCTTTAAAAGAAAACGTTTGTATGGGGGGGGATGCCACACAATATATGTGGCATTTATATTACTATATATATTATATATTTTGATAAATAGGTTAATAATCGGATAGTCAAAAGTTCCTTAAAGAAGACTTCTTGCAAAATTAAACGAGGTGAAACTCAAACGTTTCCACTTGAGGAGTTCTGGATAGAGCATATTGACAGATGAAATACAAATTTTCATCTTAAATTAATTACAGTCTTTGTATAATTACTGCTCTGACTGGGTCGCTCTGTCGGCTAAAGGCATGTTTTAGAGTCTCTATACTCCAATTAATGATTTGTCAATTACTAATTATTTGACATTTATTTCAATAATCTATTAATCCGGTTAATTGTTCCAGCTCTAATCTCACCAAAGGTTTTAATCAATTTGGTCTGATCAAAAACAAATTCCATTCCAGAAAAGAGGTGTTTTTCTTTCTAGTCCCCATTCCAGTTGGAGTAAATGTACGCACCCATTCGGATATTTGCTATACATAATCTTCACTCTTTAGGACCATTGCTATGATGGCTTCAGAAATCAAACTTCATCCATTGGTCTGGAGAACTGCTAATCCGCCATCTTTGCTTTTGCTGGCCTTAAAATTCCTTTTGTTGTTGTCGTCAGAAATCCCAACACAAAGACTGTGGTGTTGTGGATACGATTCTGCTGCCATGTTTCAGTGAGGTAGATAATACTGATACTGCATACCCTATATTCTGGCTAGGTCGCTCCATTTAAACTCCCCTGGGAGCTGGGGATGTATTTGAAATATTATTTCATGTTTTTAAATTTATCAGCCGCTCCTGGCTGTAGAAATAGACAAAAAATATTAAGCGAACAAAAAAACTGGTTGCTTTAGTCATGTTTAATAACCAGTGTCCTAAAAATCCTTCCAGTTGCACAACATCCTCCACCAGAGAAGAAAAACGTATATTAAAGTTTGACAAACAGAGGAATTGAAGTTATGATAAAGACAGCATATCAAAATCAAAGTATCGAGCTACTCTGACATGCAGCCACCTTTAGCACTGCAATTCTTGTAAGAGAAGCTTAAGATGAGTTTGGCTGTTTTTAAACTTTTTTCTTTATACCAATAACCAGCATGTGTGTACATAGTTACCATATTTAATAGATTCCTAACCTTTTTGATATGTGCAAACTCCACAAAAATGGATCTCCATAACAGGGTCCGATTTGTCCTACATGTTAAATTTAGGCCCCATCTATTCCTAGATGGCTTTTTCTGCTTGTATCAGGTAACACTGCACTTTCACCCAGACTCAGAAGCCCACAGGGCTGGGTCAGGTTCCATTTTCCTCACTTAAAACAAGCAGTTGCTACAAATAGATCAGCCAGCAATGTATAAGATTATTTTTAATTTTCTTTCTATCTTTATTTTTTTTTAATGGCTGATGTTAGTTTAGTTATTTGCTAGTATCTTTGCAGTCTAATACATGCATGCATTTGCCAATTCATCAATTCATTGGTGTATTCAGTAGCCATGCCTTTTTATGGTGCAGCAACACATAACATGTTATGTTATGTGTTGCTGCACCTCCATTTGCGTTGAAGTGTTTTCTTTAAAATGTTGATAAAGTTGAAATTGTTTATTTATTTATTGGCTTTAAATTAGACTTGTGGGAAATTTGTTATCATGCAAATGGAGGGAGTGTCAGGATTGTTTCTTCTAACCCATAATGCAGACTGATACTGGAAACTTATTAGGAGTTATTTTAGATTTCACAAATTGACTGAGGGCAAGAGGAATAGTGCAATAATGAATAAAAGTAGAAGAGAAAACATGTGCAAATGGTAGAACCAATGTACAGGTGATGAGAATTGACTGATTTCCAGAAGGTTGTGGATGATGGAGAACTTATCTTACTGAGATAAACACTGGGAGGAATAAACTGAAACAATAAAATTAATAAAATAATGAGTAAATGCCAAACCTGCTAAAAACACTAAAAAATATGTAGGGTGACAGAACTAGAAAACAACTGGCAAGGGATAAGCAAACCAATGTGGGAAAACCGCGATGGCAAAATTAATAGAAAACTAAAAACAAGGCTAAAGGAAAATACAAAACACAAATTTCTTAAAGTGGAAAGAAGAGCACGCTAACATAGAACAATGTAATCAAAAGAACCATGACAGGAGAGATTGCACATAGGTTGAACTGATTGTCATTGGCCCCTAAAAAACCTGTTTCACATTTGCTGGTCCTCACTTTGTTTTTGATAAATGTTGAATTTAGGACTAATGTGTGAACTGACTTTAGGTAAAGATCAGGGTTAGGTATGCACTGTTTTTTGTGTGTTTTTTTTTTGTCTGAAAGTCAATGGGAGTCAACACATAGTCCTCACTATATATGGGTGTGTGTTTGTGTAGGGAGTACATTATTACTTGTTTTTCTTTATTATATTAACGTCAATGCTATTTGAGTTTCAACAAGTACTGACAGAAACATCATTCCAGATTGTCAGCATGGTTCAGTGAGTCTTATCATGCTGCATGACTTTAGGGAACCAGGCATTTGCCATTAATAGCTAGCCTAAAAATGCAAAGATGTGTTATGGGCTTTAGCATCACAGCTAACCTTTTCCATAAGCTAAATCCTTGCCGTATTTGTGGGTTTTGAAACAAACGTGAATGTTCAGAAGAAGGGGACGCAGGTTAGGAAGTGCTCTGTTTTGTTCTGAAGGTTACAAAAAAGTGATTGCCCTCTCCCCTGCCCGCTCTCCACCCTTTGTTTTCCCCTCTCCCTTCGTTCATCCCACATGTATCCCTCTCATTTCCCTCTCTCATCTGATCTGCATGTTTACAAGATGGAGGGATTTTTCTCTCCATCTGGGGAGATTAGCTGTTCAAGGCCGTGCTTTTGCATGTGAGATATAAGGATGTAAGGAGAGATGGACAGACACACTTTTCCTCTCCCATGCTTGCTTTGCGGAGGGCCCCAGGTTTTTTTATTTTATTTTTTTTTTATTTCAATATGTTTTGCAGCAGCTGTTATTATGATATTGAGGCAGTTTTTCGTGAGTAATGAACTTTGCTGTGACTTCAATCTGTTTCTCCTATAATTCCTCCCTCCTAAATCACTCGTTTCTTTCTCAGAGGGCTCGGCTCAATCCAATGACAGTCTGTCAGACTCCAGCCCATCTGCTTCTAGCATCCCTACTCAGGTGGTCCAAGCTGTGCAGAGCCCACCACAGGTAGGAAGAAAGCATGTTGTGACAAATTGATGTGATTATCCAGCAGCCTGCCTTAACGGATGGGTTTGGTATTGCCTCTCCCACAGAGGTCAGTGTTGCAGGCAGTGACGCATGGAACCAAAAGGATTCAGACAGGCCACATCAGCAGCCTGCAGCATATTAACCAGGAGGTAAGCAGACACTGCATAGTACACAGAGTGGTACATGCATGAGATGCTTTCCTGCTAAATATGTAACATCCTACTTTGCAAAGGAAAGTTTAAAAGGTTTAAAATTATTTGCTTTACATTCAGCATTCAGAATTAGATTTTTATTTTAATTGCTTGTTTATTTAAGATTTTATTTTTAAAAATCTGAAGTCTATTATTTTTGCAATCTTAATCCAAATAATGTGTACTGAAGCCAACAGAATTAATTTAGAACAAAGCTAAACGTTTCATCCTTTTAACAGACTCTGTGACTTCAGGGTTCTTGTTATTTTTTTCTTTGCTTTGATAAACTACAAATGTTTTAACAATATCATTTTGTAAAGTAAATTATAATAAGCCAAACTAAACTTAAAACTAAATATGTCCCGAAAATATATTAATCCTAAACCCAAATTGCTGAAATTATGTTTATACAGAATACAAATTTACTAAGCTGCTGCTCAGTTCCACTTCTTACCTAATCTATGAAAAGTGCAGCTTATGTTTATCTAAATGATACCACATCTGTGTTTAATGCATTCTGCTGAAAGGATATATATTTTTTATGCCTCTGCTGCAATACTTTTGAAGATGCATATAATAGAAAAAAAATATAATTTTTTTTTTTTTTTCTATCAATAATGGTCATAGATTACCCTAAACACTCCCAAACCTTACAAAACCCCTCCTAGAAGAGTGGAAGCTGCTTTAGCTGCAAATGGAGGGTCCAGATTGAAATAATGACTATATACTAAAAACTGGACGTCACTTAACTTCATCTCTGTGAAGGTATAGGAACATTTGTCAGGTTGGTTTTGCTTGTCATAAGTCCAGTATTTGAGTATGTGTAATAATGTGTATATTTATATACCGCAAATTCACAACACTTATCATGTCAGGACACTTTACAGAGACAGTTCAACCAGATCATACAGTCAGATTGGTTCAAAGTTTTCTAAGGAAAACCAGCTGATTCCATCGACTCATTGCCTCGAAGGCAATTCCTCACACCAAGCATGCTTGTAGCGACAGTGGAGAGAAAGAAACCTCAAGAGGCATGTCAGAGATTTCTAATGATGCTGCCACCTGTGGTCGAAACACAGAACTGCAGCACTCTTCTTATTGTTCTTGTAGCCTGCGCATGTACTTAATAAGGTTATTTTGTTTTAACTTTTTTTCACCTTACTTGGGGTTGCCAATGGTGTCTTAGCTGAATGCCAGTTGCTTCATAGTATCCACTAAATCAACCTTGAATATAACGGTTCACTACATGAATACTTAGGCTCTGTCCTAATTATTCAGGTTTATTCGGACACGGTGCAGTACGTGGACGGTGCAGACGATGCAGCTTTTACCACATCCGCCATGTATGTATTACAGAGACATATACTTACGTGCATCACAAAGACTGTAACGTTAAGTGTCACATAGTGGTACATTTTAGCATTGACATGTGTATTTTTTTTCCTTTCCTGCAGCCGTTCAAACAGCTTTCCTTTCTCCGAGTCGCCCCTCTATTCCCAGACCCCTCCCACATCCTCCTCTGCCTTCTACGAGACCCCGCCCACCTCTGAGTCAGACATCACTGTGGCTTCACAGTCGGTTTCCATGGCAACGGCAGGAGTTAATACAGGGGCTGCTGCTGCTGCCACAGGAGGAGGGGGGTATGTCCTCCAAGGAGGGTATATGTTAGGAGGAGGAGGTGCAGCAGCAACAGGTGGGGGAGGACAGAGTTACTCCAGCCCTAACTCTCGTGCCCCACCTGCTACTGTGAGTACAAGATGAAATAAGGCCCATTAACATTAAAGACCAGTCCATTTATCTCCATGCTGTCCTTCCTCAGGTGCAGTGGTTATTGGAAAACTACGAAGGGGCAGAAGGGGTGAGTTTACCCCGCTGCACCCTCTACTACCACTACATCCTGCACTGCCAGGAGCAGAAGCTAGAGCCTGTTAATGCTGCATCCTTTGGTAAACTAATCAGGTCTGTCTTCATGGGCCTCCGCACCCGAAGACTAGGAACCAGGTAGGGACATAAAAAACACAACTAGTTGTACTGTGTTGAAGCGGTTATCTAGGAAAGAGAAATCATTTTTTCTTTTCACATCTCTCTATAGGGGGAACTCAAAGTACCACTACTATGGGCTGAGGATCAAATCAGGCTCCCCTCTGCTCCGACTCATGGATGAGCAGCAGCACATGGCCATGAGGCAGCAACCTTTCTCCCAGAAAAACAGGTGTCCACTTTTCACCAGGCGCTGCATTTTTACCTGTCTGAGATTGAGCATCATGATCTAAAGAGCTGGAGGAGCTAAAATACATGCTGATATCCCTAATGCAAGTTATGACTTTGTCAGGTATCATAAACTAATCCGATTGGAATGAAACGAGAGATTTAAGGAATTGATTACAAAGATCTGCTTAAAGTGTTCCTCCTAATAAACTTCCCTATGAAACATCTCAATATTTCCTAATGAAGCCAGTTTATCTTACTTTTACACAAAACACACCAGTAAAATAATCACTCTTTAGTCCCTATGTTTTGTGAAAATGTCTAAGACCATTAATACCATTTATTATTATTATTATTATAAAACTCATTTTTTACTAAAAAGTTTAAAAACTTGTTCTTTGTGTCGGCCTATTTCCTGGAGGGTGCAACCTGACAATGAAAGGCTTAGCCTGGAGGGATGTATTGGTGGAACACCTGGCCTTAAGTCCTCCATTTCTGGACAGAATTTTTCTGCTTCAGGGACAGAATGGCTGGTCAGAGATTATGGGATGATGGAGGGAGATCAATCCAGGGAGAAAAAACTGTAGCAGGCTAATGATTAGAAACTGGACTTGAAGAAACTAAACGGACCCAAGACCTACAGTGGAAATATGTAGATTAAGCATATTAATTTGTTGGGACGACCTAGTCAATCTTCAGGCCTTAATACACATTCGCAAACAATTTACACTACACAAAAGACTTGTTTTACGGTGATGCGTCGGGTATGATTTTGTGATAGGCGTAAAACAACGGTTGATGGAGTTGGGAAGCGCCATCAACCTACACCAACCAAGTGTTGCTTTGTCAAATCCAATAAATATCAAATAATTTTTCTGTGTTTTAGCTGCTAGTTTTTTTAGTTTTACTCATTTTATGTAATATTGTTTGTGTTATTTCTGTGTTTTTCCCTCATTGTCTAGGATAAAGCCACTCCAGAAGATGCAGGGAATCGCCAATGGGACATCAGGGGGGGCGGGTCAGCAGCAGGTGGCGGCGCTTTCTGATATTTCAGCCCAGGTGCAGCAGTATCAGCAGTTCTTAGGTGAAAAAAACATGAACTCTGTATTTTTATGGGTTTTTTGTTATTCCCCCCCCCCAAAAAAAATTGGCTTGTTACTGTATTACAGGTGCTGGTCATAAAATTAGAATATCATGAAAAAGTAGATTGATTTCAGTAATTCCATTTAAAAAGTGAAACTTGTATATTATATTCATACATTACATACAAACTCATATATTTCAGATGTTTATTTTGTTTAATTTTGATGATTACAAATGACAACAAATGAAAATCTCAAATTCATCATATCAGAAAATTAGAATATTGTGAAAAGGTTCAAAATTGATGGCCCCTGGTGCCACACTCTAATCAGCTAATTAACTCAAACCACCTGCAAAAGCCTTTAAATGGTCTTTCAGTCTAGTTCTATAGGCTACACAATCATGGGGAAGACTGCTGACTTGACAGTTGTCCAAAAGACGACCATCGACACCTTGCACAAGGAGGGCAAGACACAAAAGGTCATCGCTAAAGAGGCTGGCTGTTCACAGAGCTCAGTGTCCAAGCACATTAATAGAGAGGCGAAGGGAAGGAAAAGATGTGGTCGAAAAAAGTGTACAAGCAAGAGAGATAACCGCACCCTGGAGAGGATTGTGAAACAAAACCCATTCAAAAATGTGGGGGAGATTCACAAAGAGTGGACTGCAGCTGGAGTGAGTGCTTCAAGAACCACCACACACAGACGTATGAAAGACATGGGTTTCTGCTGTCGCATTCCTTGTGTCAAGCCACTCTTGAACCACAGACAGCGTCAGAAGCGTCTTGCCTGGGCTAAAGAGAAACAGGACTGGACTGCTGGTGAGTGGTCCAAAGTCATGTTCTCTGATGAAAGTAAATTTTGCATTTCCTTTGGAAATCAAGGTCCCAGAGTCTGGAGGAAAAGAAGAGAGGCACTTCATCCACGTTGCTTGAAGTCCAGTGTAAAGTTTCCACAGTCAGTGATGGTTTGGGGTGCCATGTCATCTGCTGGTGTTGGTCCATTGTGTTTTCTGAGGTCCAGGGTCAACGCAGCCACATACCAGGAAGTTTTAGAGCACTTCATGCTTCCTGCAGCTGACCAACTTTTTGGAGATGCAGATTTCATTTTCCAACAGGACTTGGCACCTGCACACAGTGCCAAAGCTACCAGTACCTGGTTGAAGGACCATGGTATCCCTGTTCTTAATTGGCCAGCAAACTCTCCTGACCTTAACCCCATAGAAAATCTATGGGGTATTGTGAAGAAGAAGATGCAATACACCAGACCCAACAATTCAGAAGAGCTAAAAGCCACTATTAGAGCAACCTGGGCTATCATAACACCTGAGCAGTGCCACAGACTGATCGACTCCATGCCACGCCGCATTGCTGCAGTAATACAGGCCAAAGGAGGCCCAACTAAATACTGAGTGCTGTACATGCTCATACTTTTCATGTTCATACTTTTCAGTTGGCCAACATTTCTATAAATCCTTTGTTTTTATTGGTCTTCAGTAATATTCTAATTTTCTGATATGATGAATTTGAGATTTTCATTTGTTGTCATTTGTAATCATCAAAATTAAACAAAATAAACATCTGAAATATATGAGTTTGTATGTAATGTATGAATATAATATACAAGTTTCACTTTTTAAATGGAATTACTGAAATCAATCTACTTTTTCATGATATTCTAATTTTATGACCAGCACCTGTATATTACGCTGTAAGCCTGTTGGTTACACAACAGGCTACAGATGTTGACATCTTGTGGCATTTTGGTAATAATATTCTTTAACATACATACCTATCATGAACAATTGCGTCTTATTTTGTGTTTTTCAGAAGCAGCTAAGCCGTTGCCAGAATTTGTGAAAATTGATCAGCTGGATCAAGTCCTGCCAGATGGGATCCATGCTGAACACCTAAAGGCCTTTCAGGCTCTGTACAGGGAACACTGTGAGGTAGGAACCTTAATAAACGCGTCTGCTCAATTAGAACTTTTCGATTGTTTCGATCTATTTTCACCTTAAAGTTCATAAACATTATTTTAACACATCCCCCTGGTGGTGTTTTAGGCTGTTCTGGATGTGATGATCAACCTTCAGTTTCCTCTGGTTGAGACGCTGTGGAAATCCTTCTGGAGGTTCAGCCAGAACAACGATGCTGAATCACTCAATCTGTAAGACTTTTAAACTGGGTCTCCATTAACCTTTTGGTTTTAATGTGCATTGCTGTGATGCTGAAATGTACTAATACAAAATAACGTTCTGAAAAGTGTGATGGGCCTTAATCTGATTACCCTTAAGAGAAATCCAATGTAACCACCTGATTTCAAAAGTAACCAAAGGAATAAGTCTGCTGTGTTTTGATTTATTTAAATCTAAATCAATCCAATTAGATTTATGATAAATTACAGCCAGAAACACCCACAGCACTGAAAATATGCGAAAAAGAATTTAACCTTTTACCTCATAATGGTGTACGGCTTTTTATTGGTCTGCCGCATAAAATCCCAGGAAGATAAATCAAGTCTAAGCTTATAAAAAAACGTAGAAGTTTGAATCTGTTTGTGTGTAACGCCATACTGACAGAACAGAGAAGATAAACACACTCATCTTTCGTGCGACTTTTTCCCTCCATCAGTCACAACGAGTCTGAGAAACGGCTGCCCAGGTCCTGTTTGGTGGCTCTGTGCAAGTTCGAGCCGGTGCTGCGCTGGACGAGGGAGTGTGACAACCTGCTCTACCAGACTCTGGTTGAGATCCTCATCCCAGACGTGTTGAGACCCATTCCTAGTAAGTTGGTGAGCTGTTGTTAGAAAACATCTGTAGGCAAAGCCCCACTTTCAAGTAGTAATGGTGTACTAATGCTGCAGATGTTTGTATTTAAATTAAGAAGGTAGTCAATCTAATATTACTGGTTTGAAATAATTTGACAGTAGTTTGGAATTGTTGTTTTAATAGCCGCCTGTGTGAGCTGCTCATGTTAAGTTTTGTAATAAAATGTTACTATTTTGAGCAGTTATGATTCCTTTTTTATTTTGTTGTCTCAATAAACAAAAAAACTCCTCCTTTCATTAGGTGCCTTAACTCAGGCCATCCGTAACTTTGCCAAGAGCCTGGAGAGCTGGCTGACAGGCGCCATGATGAACATCCCTGAGGAAATGGTTCGCATAAAGGTGTGAAGACTTTTCTACACTGATCGCACCCTGTTCATCGGGTTGTTGGTCCCAGTTTCCTGTTTAATTTTAGTCGTTTGTTAACATGTCAGATGTTCTTTTATTTGTTTGAATGATGGGTAGAAAGATGCATGAGAAATGGATTTTCTTTGAACTGCCTTTATACTAAACACTTCATCTGTTAGAGTGGTCTAGTCAAAGCCCGGGCCTACACCAGACTGAGAAGGGCAACCTGACACTCTTTCAGTGCTCAGTCATGCTTACAGCTCATCAGTAAAATAAGCTCCAAACGCGTTTATGCTGCATTCTTCTCCCTCCGCCCTCTTTCAGGTGGTGTGCGTAGGCTCGTTCTCGCAGACATTACGCCGCTACACCAGCCTGAACCATCTGGCTCAGGCGGCTCGCGCTGTCCTGCAGAACTCGGCTCAGATCAACCAAATGCTGTCTGACCTCAATCGTGTTGATTTCACCAACGTGCAGGTCAGTTTTACCGCCACCGTCTGTGCGCGGCTCTGATGACAGGCTAAATGCTGAGCCCATGTCTGTCTCAGGAGCAGGCATCCTGGGTGTGCCAGTGTGAAGACCGCGTGGTCCAGAGGCTGGAGCAGGACTTCAAAGCGACTCTGCAGCAGCAGAACTCCCTGGAGCAATGGGCTTCTTGGCTGGATGGGGTCGTCTCCCAGGTCCTAAAGCCCTATGAGCAAAACCCTGCCTCGCTGCCAAAGGCGGCCAAAGTCTTTCTGCTCAACTGGTCCTTCTATAGGTAAGGAACTACAGGGGAAAGAGTCTAAAATATTCAGCCCCTTCTTGACCTTGTCTCATGTTTTTAATTTTACAACCTTAAAGTTGGTATTTAAATTTGGTTTTATATAATGCAAACAAACAACATTTGCTACTCTGCAGTGGTTTTGTCTCTACCTGCTCTGCACATTTAAAATGCTGAGGTGTGTATCTTCTTACCTCGGAATCAAGATGGATTGTCGCAAGATTTGAGAATTCACAATCTCCCAAAAATACATCTTGCCAGGAGCCAGCAAATCTATTACCCTAAATGTTTTAGACTAGTGAAATGTAGTCTGAAATGCAAAACAAGCATGGCTCTACTGGTTTTAGCTCTATTATCTTCTATTTCTTTTTGAAAAAGAAGCTAAGGCCACAATGTTTGCCTTTGTTAATGGGAAAAATGTTTGCTCATTCCTCCCAACCAGATTTTGTAAGAGTTTGATTCATCAGTTAACTCTGCTAGTTAAAAAAAAAAAACAATCAAGCTGCTACTGCTGCTGTGATTGACTAAAATCTCGACATAGGAGGCAGGTACCCAATCAGCTCGAAGATTTTTTTTTTTTCTGAATGTCCCTCCCCTTGGGAAACACTTTCTACATGAAGCCTCTGATATCTGTACATGTAGTCCAATTTGAATTCTACACGCTATTACTTTGGCTTTTTCAGTCAGATTGGATTCAGAGGGAACCAGAAAAGTCTCTTCAAGTCTCTTCACTGGAGAAATGATCTAGATAAAAGTTAAAATATCTTAAATTAAGTGTACTTACCCTTAATTTGAGTACCGTAGGTAAATGAGATAGTTTGCAAGTGGAATGAGTATTTTTACTCTTAAAATAGGAAAATTAAATAATATGCACTTAAAATAAGGCAATGCAATTGTGTTTTCTTATTTGAAGTTATAGCAGTATTGAAATTGTCATGTTCCATTAGTAAAATGTCTCTTTTTTTACCTCCTCAATCCAAGAACAAATGCACTTATTTTAAGAAAAAATAACTTATCTAGATTTAGATTTTTTTCCAGTGTACAAATGTTAATTTATCCTTCCTGAGTCTCCAACAGGCTTTTTTTTTTGCCATTCTTACATACCATAAAGTTCCCTGCAAAAAAACATGATGGTTCCTCCACCATCTGTCTTCTTAGATAGGATGTGTTCTGGAAAAGCACATCAGAAAATCTTAAAATGGCAAGCTCTTGCACTTGATTGAGCTGCTGTCGCCGTCTTCCTGGATGTTCCTATTATGCGTAAACTTTGCTTTAAGCAACATCACCGTTACTTACATTTTAAAGCAAGAACAACTTGCCCAATAGCAACACTTTTAATAAAACGTTCCTCCATTACTGATCTGTGGTCAGTGCTAGATTGCAGCCTCTACTTCCTGTTTAAGACAGCCCTGTGTGACAACGTATGAGGGCTTTGTGCCGCTTGATTATTCAACTTCAAGCCAAATGAGAACACTGCACATTTCACATTTCCTTTTTACAAACTCTAAAATTTTGCAAAAACATGTACATTTTAGCTGAATGGAAGCATGGGTACTATGTTTGAAAAACAAAACTATTGTTTTACTCTGTGAGAGCATTTTCTGTGTCTACCATGACTCATCATCTTTCTAAAGCACATTTAAAGGTTTGGTTTCCATCCTCAGATTCTTCCCTCTAAGCTGTGCCTTTCTGCAGCTCCTCTTTTTGATTGTGATCTCAATAATGCTTCTATTGCTCAGTCACTTAAATGCAGTCAAGTTAAACTCAAATTGGTAAAGCATGAAAAGGGAGACTGATGATTTTCTAGTCCCTGTATGTAAGCTAGTGGTTCTGTTTGTTTTTTTCTTCTTATTCTCTAACAACATCTTGTACGTAATCTGCCCCGACCAGCTCTATGGTGATCCGGGATCTGACTCTACGCAGTGCTGCTAGTTTTGGCTCCTTCCACCTCATCCGCCTGCTGTATGACGAGTACATGTACTACCTGATTGAGCACCGGGTGGCCAAGGCTAAAGGGGAGACACCCATAGCAGTCATGGGAGAAGTAAGTTGTCATTTCGATCCATCAGTGCAAGCTGCGCAATTCCAACGTTTTCTTCAAACAAACATTTTCTTTAAACAAAAATCAGTTTTTTTTTTTTTTTTTTTTATTGCTCTGTTGTCTGTTGCAGTTTGCCAGCGCTGTGAAGAGCAGAAACTCTCCAGATCTGGACAAAGGTAAAGAAAACCTCACTGATACGTGTTTAGCTTCCACTGATGTTCAGTGCTTACTGCCACGTTGCCGCATGTCTTCGTCAGAAGAAGAAGAAGATGATGATGAAGAGGACAGCGAGGAAGACAGTGGAGAGATCATGCTGCAGTCCAGCTCCCTGAAGGTGGATGAGGAGAAGTCAGAGATGGAACCGCCCGCCAAGCAGCCCAGAACCAGTTTAAATCTGCACCCTCTGACCTAAGGTCACGGCTCACCACCCTAAACGAAAACGCCTGCATCATGAACATCACCCTCTTCCGTTTTAGAATCATGTCATCATGTCCTGAAGCCATTGTTTGCATTCAGTCTGCTTGTCTGATATTTGTGGACGTCGGAAGTGGACGAGCTGATTTTCTCTGTTCCTCCATGTTAGCTGATCATTACTGCCCCTGACCCTTGTTTCCTGTGCCTTCCCCCATCTATTCAGTGCCCTCAGGCCCCTAAAGGTCTAATCTATCAGTACAATATATTCTTGATTTCCCTCCTGTCCTGCCTTAACCACTGACCTGGGTGCTGTGGAGATGAGAAACCTCCAGTTTTCTTCAGCATTGCTCTTCAGCTCCAAATCATTGATTGCCTTTAATGAAATGACTATGCAGGAGATGCAGGACTGTAATTTTTGACACTGTAAACATCTAAGAGTAGCATCTGGAATGATACTGCAGCATGAGTTATGATTGAAGCTTAGTTTTCATTTGTTTTTATTTGAGGGTGCCATATTTTTTTTCTTTTTCTTTTTTTTTTTTTTTACATTAAATTTGTTTTTAATTTGGCTGCCTGATCTGTGCCTTTAAGAGACTCCTAATCTCAAAAAAGAAAAGTTTGTGTTCTCTATAAAGAAAGAAAAACCTATATATTATATTCTGTATTGTGGATTAATAAATGAATGTCCGGTGAAGTGGTCTTGGTGTTGTTATGATCTTGGTATGATTAGTGTGCCTGTCAGAAATATTCACACCCCTTTCCTTTTTTTTTTTTCTGGATTGTATTCTGTTGAAATGTCTGTCGGATTCGGGGATTTTTGTTATAGACCAACAAATCGTACTGCACAGATGTGAACTGGAAAGAAAAGGTGCAAATTTTTCGATCTGCACTTTTCATAATTACCTTTCTAATTGCGATGTCATGTCTTTTAAGATTTATTTATCCCCGATTGGAACAAATAGAGGCTGAATTGGTGCCCAATTTTTACTTTTTGTGCTGAAGCCCATACCATGATGCTGCCTTCACCATAACGCAAGATGGGGAGGGTTAGTTTTCTACCAATTTGATTTATTTAAATATATATATTTATTTAAATATATATATATATATATATATATATATATATATATATATATATATATATATATATAGAAAGCGCCAATTCACAACTTGTCATGTAGAGGCACTTTACAGAGACAAAGAAAATAATTGACAGATTGGTTTTAAGTTTTCTCAAGAAACTCCGATTGCATCAAGTCACTGAATTCGCTCCTCCTGGATAGGTAGACTTTGCGTCGTGTCGTTCACTTTGCAGCAATCCTTCACACCGAGCTGGAGTGAAAAGAAACATCCTTTCATCTCCAGCAAATGCAGGTTTATCGAGAAGGGCCTTCTGCCCTGTTCCACTGAGGATTCAACAACTTTATTTACTACCCAGTGAGCAACAGTCACCCCGATGCAACTGACCCCTGAGGACATTTGCTTGCTTTATTTTTTTGGGATCAGAGTAAATGAGCTTAATAGTTACATGCTTTTCACAGTTTGAACACTTTTCCAATCACTTCTGTTCTGCTCCGTTTTGTGTCAATGCATCAGATAAAATTATAAAAAAAAAAAAAATAGAAATATAGATTTTTTTTTTGGGTTTTGAATATTTTTGCGAGGCAGCGTATATTTATTAAATACTATGCCACTTCTGCCTGGTAATGTTGCTGCACTGTTCTTTCCTTCCTTCTGGCTTAAGTTTTACCCGCTACACACTTATAAAGATGCTTTCTCATCACAAGGCCAAAGGTTATCCCGCCTCTTCAGGAGCTTCTCTGTTGCTTTGTACCAGCTGCAGCTGTCTGAGGATTTTGTAGAGATGAAAGTATATGGTTATTTTCTAAAAAAAAAAAAAAAAAAATACTGTGGATTTATTGTGTATCTTTTGTGAAAGCTGTTAAATATTGATATCTGCTCTATTTTTATGTTGTCTAACCATCATTGCCTTAAAATATTGTCCTAAAGCCATTCATCCAGAATGATGGCCTGAGACCCCCCCCCCCCCCTACCAGAACATAGGCTCACATCTTGCAGGTCCTTGTGTGGCACGAGCAAAACTGATGTTCAACTTTGAAACTGGAATTAAGGCAGTGGGATATCTCTCAGGACCATCTCTTTACTGAGATCCCACCAAAGATCTTTGTAAATTAAAAAAATGTTAAAATGTATATTACAAAAAAATATATAAATTACCATTAATGTCAAAGTTGGTTAATTTGTTCCTTGTTTGTTTTTGGGGAACCTTTTGCCTAAGATTTTGTCCTCTTGATGTTAAACCGGAGACCTTTGTATTTTATTCTGTGATTGTTTGTAGCATCATTCAACTAAACAGATGTAACGTCTCTAAAAGCTTCTGTGAGTTTTTTTCCCCCATCTTTAAATATGCAGTAAGAACATATTTTTGCAAGTTCAAATTAACTTTTATATTTTAGATTTAGCTCGTCTATCAGTCTGAACTCTGACATTTTGACATATTTCTATGACTATTTCCAGCTTTGAAGCAAACTATCTTCAGATTGACTGCTCTAAGCATTAGATACTCTAGCCTCTGTAACCCGATCTCCAGATTTAAACTGAAATTTAATCACATATTGGAGAAATTTTACTGAACTTTTTTTATGACACTATGCATCTATATTTACAACCCATAAATGCACAGGTCATAATACCCTCATGTAATCTCATGCTACACACTACAGGTGTGATGATGGAGATCTACTCACTGCACAATAATGAAAGCTTAGTGTAATCAACAGATTACTCCCAAGTTTTCCCTAATTGACTGGGCTGATAATTAGTAGACTGCTTGAGGCCTTGGTCTTGAAAGAGCAGCCCATTAGGACATCTCAGTAGAGCCTGACTGCATCATTATGAGTCAGATAAGCCAACTGATTCAGGTGTGAATAGAGAAGGAAACATCTCAAGGTAGCAGAACACTGGATCCTCCAGGATTTGTTTGAGAACATGTAAGTGGAGAGCACTGAATGCGAGTCAAAAGGATTATCGGGATCATTGGGCATATAGACTTCCTTACAAAGCAACACTGTAAAGCCACCGAAAGACATATCCCACCTGGAAATTTTGCATCTATCAGATTAAACATTTTCGGCAGTAATTTACTTAGAGAATTATTTTTTTAAAAGATACAACTTTTCCAAACTTGTACCCACATAAACAGGGTTTAGATAGATGTCCAAATGAAGAGCATTTTCTTTGTGGGAATTTTTTTTGTCCATGAGTTTATACGAAGCAGAAGTGAAATGCAATATGTGGAGGAGTTTAGTAAGGCACGAACTGAAGTATACAGACAACTCGTTAACATTTGCCCTCTCTACCTTTGAAATCCTCTCCAAACCCAGCCAGTTGTGAGGACATCTCTGGTCCACAGCACCATTCAGGTAAATGTTCATCCCAAGAACAGATAGAGGAGAAGAGCATAATGCTGCCACCACCGAGCTTTACCATGGGTTAGATGGTCTTTCTTTGCAGCATTCTGAAACAGTGGCACGAAAAGCTTAACCTCTATTTTTACACAAGGTTTTGTAAAGTTTCAATGTTGTTAGTTTATACAGATTGAGAACACAGCCAGTGTAGCTACAGTAATATTCCTGTCTTTGCTGCCACCCTGAGCAGTTCCTTCCATTTCTTTCTAATAATTGCAGAGAAATGTCTGTTAGCTAAATCCAAAGTATAATTTATGCAGTTGTGTGAATTTAGGGCTGAATGCTAAAAGTAAAATTGTTGTTTTAAAAAGAAAGTATCAAAGGTATGCAACTTTATACAAGTAGATATTATTCAAGCTCCATTTTGAAAGTGGAGCTTAAATCGGTCTAATTGTGAACACAAATAACTCCAAATAACATTAAATCCATACATTTTACTTCATAAAATATTCCATTTGGACAGTCTTTTCCCACATGAAAATGACCATCGTAAAAAAACAAAAGAAAAAACAGAACGGAGGAGGCTCTCTTCTAAAATACTGCGGCCCAACAGATCAGTGGACTGATCCACTGCAAACCAAGAGGAAACCGTTCTTAAGCAGCTAAATGCATCAATTTACACAAAAATCAACATTAACAAAGGTAGAGTCAGTTACGCATTAACAGTATACCTTGCTGTGTATAAAAAAAAAAAACTAAAAAAACTCTTTGTTCAGTCCAGCTCTGGCTTTTGGTGCCTGTAATATTAAAGACTTACAAAAGAACTATGAATACATACACAGGCAAAACCATCTGCAGCAGAAATGTTTTTGTTTAGTTTTGATGACACTTTCAACTTAAAACCTCTCAAAAATAGAGCGCTGCTCTGAGCTGAGCTTGTTGCTGAAGACGAGGACATGTCTTCATGAAGTTTCTCCAAGTTAGACCTGCTTGTTCCTTTTAACTTTCCCTTCATAGCACAATCCAGGTACATCGGTCGCTGTCTGCCAACACTTGCAGAGATGAACCTGAGTGAGAAAAGTTAATAAAGAGTTTAGCTCATTTTGCACAAACAAACATTTTTCAGGTAAAATTTCTTTAGTTTATAACCAAAAGTTCTCATTTAATTTCCTGAGCTGTGAACTCTCAAAATAATAAATAAAATTTTTTTTTAAATGCAGAAAAGTAGAGAAAATATACAGATAGATTGGGGCATGAAATGGATTGACAGATGGAGGACTGAATAAATAAATGGAAAAATAACCAAAGTGAGCAAACTTATGGATGACAACACATCCACATGCAGCTATATTGTAAAACTAGCAGAAAAAGCTCATTGGTCCAATAGAGCAGTGGTTACCCCTAGTGGTCGGTGACGGCATTGTAAGGGGCACATACAAATATTTTATTTCTTACTAAAATACAATAGGACTGGGATCTGTTTTTGCTTTTGAAAAATTAAATAAGCTTTTATCAACCAAAAAGTAACTTTTTCTTATATGTTTGAATTCACCAAAACCAAGACTGGATGTAGAGAGCAGCCTGGGATCAGCCGTTTTTCATACTGAGCTATCCGAGGTCATCAAAGCAGTTCGGGTGTTTTGATGATAACTAAGTAAAACTAATTAAGTAAGTCTGAATACAATTTTTGTTCAGTATTTTGTTCCCAATTCCTAAAGTTTAAATGTTATAAGGGAGTTATATTATAAGGGAGATACTGAGAAGAGCTCCTGTTTTATAAATACAGGTTAATAATAGGATTTTATTTTGTATTTATTTTGATTACTTACCAACTTCCAGGCAACATACTTATGTTGCACTTTTATTGGAAATGGAAAGAATAAAAATGCCCAAGAATTCAATTCTCTAATGGTAAACAAGCTTTACTCAACAGAGTAAAGGGAAGTGGATACGACAAACGACAGTCTAATCAGGGCTTACAGATGCAGGAAACGACAGATGTTGAGGCTCATCACACAGCTAAGCAGAATCATCTGCTCATGCGCTCTTTGTTATCTGAAAACTGAGCCCGAACTGAACCGCGCGGAGCCCTACTCGTGAACTAGTACCAGTTTAGCGAGGTTCGGTTGTGTCTGGCACGGTGTGTCAGTTGTAACTGCTACTCTGCAGTTATCTCGGTTACCATGCTCGGACCGATCTCGGCACGTTTTCAAAAGGCTAGTATAAATGGGGATATAGACTCACCTTTGTGTAGAGCTTCGTTGGTCATGCGGTTAATGTAGCGGGAGCTGTTCTCAGGAACCAACCACTTCATCATTGTGTTCACACAGCACCTTCTGTAGGAGTTCCACACAGTTCCACTACCAGAGACAGAGGACGATCAGACAATGAACACAACAAACTCTCTGAGTTTCTGTGCGTCTGTATTTCCTCACCTGGTCTGACCCTTAACTTCAGTTAGGTCTCCAACACCCACAGTGCAACACACACCTGTGTCAAGGTTCCAGCTAACCTGCAGAAAAGAGTGGTATGTGTTTCGCCTGAAAAACAAGAGAGGCATAAAATGAGAGCAGACAGAGACACGGATGACTGAGCTAAAGATCTAAATCTGCCTATAAGTAATTAAATAAAGGTGATGAGGAGGGAGAAGAGTACCTGCAGTGATCCTCATCTGAGACAGAGAAGGCCAACAGCAGCAGACTAATGTTGATAATCACAGTATTGGTCTCTGGGCAAACCTGGTGAGCATCAAACACTCATTATAGACACATTTACCAATCAATGTACAATGGGAGGTAAATAACAGTGCTGACTCTCCTTTCTGCTCTACATCTAACACTTCTCTATAAATGAGAGCATTTATACAATCACATTTACTAGAAGAAAGAATAATAAATAAAAAGGTATTAACTCGTTATATCAGTGGGGTGAGCAAACACTAATATCAATTCTTTATTATTCCTTCTGATTCAGTTCCTGCATTCATGCCTTACAGAAGTTCACAAATCAATCGACACGAAGACACCAGTACTCAGTTCTGCACTATGGCACAGCCATGACTTTTATACCCCTTTCCCACTGGCCGAAAAACCCTAATAAACCTGGGAACAATGGGCTATAAGTAGCAGTGTGAACAGCTCACTGCTGCGTGTCTACACGAGTGTTAAAATCACCTCGACTCTGATCGGCATGCTCTGGGATCACCAGACATGGGTTGACCTGCTAAATTACGTGACACCATCAAATGCATTGTCCAGACATCAACACACCTTTCAAGTAGCGTCTGACCTAACAAGCCGAAACAACTCTGGTTACATCAGATAAACATGGTGCAGTTCTGGGGGGAGGAATTCGGAGGGACAAAAGAGTGAAACCACAAAGCACACTGACTAAGCCCTGGCTTCCTTACATGCTGGCCTCCATTGTTTACTTTCCCGATTTCTGTCACACTGGTGGCATCATTAATGCTAACGTAACGTGATGGCGTCACCAGTCACACAGCTGCGGGGGGACAGAGGCCATACAGCTTACAGCAGGAAGGGAGCCAAATGCCAATTGTTAGCCGGTCGACCCATGTTCGAAAAACACGTGTTAACACGCTATTTTAAGTGGGAAAGAGGCTCAGGGAGTCACTAATCAGAATTTGGGGTATGCTGGGTTCATCCTCAGGTTAGCATCTGAAGGAAAGCTACCTCAGATAAATAAGCTGCAACTACCGTGCTTTGCTGTATGTTTAGCATTTGTTTTTATTATTATAAGCTCTCAGTCCCATAAAATTTGAATGAAACTTGAAGGTTTTCTTTGAAAGAAAAGGCAACCATACCCCCTGGTCCAGTCATTAGAAAATAATTCACTGTAAAGCTGAACTAGTCCATGTTTTAAATTCCCACTGGTTCTTTGGGGTGTATTTTGGCCTCTAGATAGCAGCTCAAGTGTTTTCTTAATGGATCTTGAGTAAATTTCAGTTTTTGATGATGGTGCATATATTCTTGTCATAACCAACCCAATCATCACAGTTATTTTCTAACAAACCAGAGTAGCTTTGTGCAATAATCATCTTACCCAGAAATAAGTTTAACCAGAAACTAAGAAAAACACATTTATTAACTCAATCTCAAACATTTTACTGAGACAAGTGCTTCAGGCTTTGGTCATAAAACAGCTTCATAACAATGTTACAACCCTACCACAGCTTTAATTTATAAATTGATGTATGTTACAATAACAATTACTTATTTAGCAGTACTCAAAAGAAAATAATTGTCTTTACTGTAATCAGAGGCTTTCTTCTAAATATGCATTTTGCATGTGCTGATATTGTAACAAATGATAAATGATATATTTTAGTACCAAAATGTAAACTATGTGATGAAGCTCTTTGTAGTCTTCTGACTTATACCTTTTTGACAATATGATCATTTGGATTGTTTGTATCCTTTTAAAAATTATGACTTCAGATTAATGTAAAGAAGTAAGGAAACTCCAACCTTATTATTGGTTAATGAGATTTAATGGATCAGGTTGGAACTCAAGAGTATTTTCCCCCAAGAATCTACTGGATATATGTGACATTATGTAATGGAGAAGTTTAGAAATCATTTATCATGTTCTCATTTTCTTATATCATAATAGTTGATACTTTTACATTCCTAACAGGTTTTGCTGCTTTTATCTTCCCAGCTATTTGCCAGACGACTGGAAGTCAATGAACACAAATAAACTGGTGTTGAAGAGTACAGTAGCTTTAAACTAAAGCTAAATTATTCTTTTCTTCCCCTTAAGAAGGAGTGTGCTCTTTCAAAACTTTAACTTACTACATCTTAAAAACTTGAGGGAACACTGAATATTTCTTAATAATGGTGCAAAGTGTTTGGGGGTCTGCATTTACCTCAAGAATCACAACATCGTAATCACTGAAGGAGCAGAACTGTGGAGCCCAGGCAGCATCGTTCTTGATCACTTCATTGATGAGATACTCGAAATCCAGAGTCAGCTGTTCTACACAAACACTCTGAAAAATAAACAACAGAGCAGCTGAAAACATCCATTGGTTATAAGAGACATTAAGCAAATGATTGTCACACAGAGATGCAGCTCTGCTGAGACTGTGGGGAAATGTTTAGGCTGATGGAAACATTTGGAACAGAGGACATAGAAGCCATGTCACAAAAAAGGATTTGACCAGATGGTTATAATGTTGACATAATGAGATATAACAGACCTGTCCATTGTGTGGTCCGGTGACCAGCTGCAGGTTTCTTCCTTTCAGATCTGTAACAGTGAAAGGCAGCTGGACTTTATCATCCTCATAACCTGGAAAAATAAACCAGGACAAAGAACCAGTTAAAGAAGTGATGGTTGCATTGAAAACAGCACAAGGGCGAACAGGAATATTTAACCCTCACCTCCTGCACTTCCTGAATTTTGCTCTGCTGCCCCCTGCTGCTTTAAGCGGTAGTGAAGACGTGAGTAGTTGACATATCCGGGTTCGCTGGAGCCAGCATCCTGGCATGAGGACGAGGTTGAAGTTGATGGAAGCGATGATGGAGGAGAGGCAGGACAAAACGCTAAATTAGGGCTTCCACGTGATGTGGATGCCTCCTGTGAACTAGTCCTTCTATTTTCAGCTTTCCTGTCCTTACAATCCTCCTCCACTCTTGAAGTTTCTACATAAAAAAAGTAAAACAAAATTGAGTACATGGGTATACATATATATTTAATACACTAAAGTTTAATAGCTGCCAAAAATAGCTTGCATTTGCATCGTAAATATCAGGTCTTTGTATATAAACTGAATCTATGCTGTTACTGGTACTGTACAGTAGGGGGTGCTGTAGCTCAGGTTGGCAGTAAGCTGCGTGCAAAGAGTAAGAAAGTTTCTGTTACTTTCTAGTCAGTCAGTTCTCAGAGCTTAATATCCCACAGAAAAGAGAACGAAAGAAGGCACTCTGTTTTTTTTTTGTTAGAGATTAGGACTGAGAGCACATTTGTCTGAATACAGCTTGATGAGGCTCGATAGCAGCAGATTTATGGACCTACAGCTAAACACCTTGCAGCCCTTGGACAGCGGAGCGAGGTACAGGTTTAGGGCTTTAATTGTTTATAAAGTTTGTACTTTATGTATTTTTTTGTTTAATGTTCTGATTCAGATTAATGCATTTTATCCTGGTTACCATTCTGCCTCTTTTTCATCATCATCAGCCATTCTCTCCTCCTGGAACTTACTGTCTTTGCTTGTTGTTGTTGCTGCTGCTCCTCCCTGGGCTCGCCTGAAAATATCAGCAGCAAACTCCCGGGCTCTCATTGCTGCCTGTGAATGGCTAGGCGATGAGGGAACTGGAGAGGTCCTGCAAGCAAAATGCCTGCTTTCTGAAGATGTGACATCCAAGGATGCTGAGGAGGGTGATGGTACAGCTGGAGTTGACTGGACGGCTCCCTTTGTGTAAAGGATCTGTGATGACTGGCCTTGTTTTTCTAAAAAGAAAGAAGACAAAGATAAGCAAAAACAAAACGGCAAAACCTGTAAAGAAAGCAGTATTCAGAAACTTAAATCTTTTTACATTTCATTACATTATAACCTCACAGTGCAGTATATCGGGATTTAAGGTTGGGTGATTAGACGAGTCCATCGACCATCGACGATAGAATCAGCACTTAAACGATTGTTTTTCAAGAGCAATTTTTTTTTTTTTTGGACTTAAAGGGGAACACCGTTTTTTTTTTTTTACAGTGGCCCCTTGATTTTACGTTATTACATCATGTTCTACTCACCCTTATTAGTTTTGTGTCATTTGGAGCTGTTCTGAAGATATTCGGTTTTGTAATCCAAGTAACGTCTTCCTATTGGCAACGACTTGAAGGCACAAACTAAACTGTTCATAACTTATTCTTTATGGTACGCCAGCATTCATAACATGTAGGCGAATCACTGTCCCCCAGACATCCGCGGTTATATTTTTTATATATATACATTTTTTTCAAACAAAGCGGCGCGTGTATGACGTCATCGGCGCGCACCAGCTACCATTCATTCATCCTGTCCGCTGAACTGCTGCTAGTTTTACTCACATGCCTGGAAGATGTCTAGTACTACTACCACAGATGATCTCGCTCTCGAAATGGAATTGGTACGCGGATGACGTCATACACACTCCGATGTTATATTTTTTATATTTATATTTTCTTAAAACAAAAGTGGATTGTGTATGACGTCATCCGCGCGCCGGACTTGAGTTGTGACAGGCAGCCTGGGCCACAGGCGCCTACGCTCTACCCGTTCTATTCATTCGGCTAGCTAATCTGAATCGTTCAATTTCATTTCGAAAGAGAGATCATCTGTGGTAGTAACACTAGACATCTTCCAGGCATGTTAGTAAAACTAGCAGCAGTTAAGCAGACAGGATGAATGAATGGTAGCCGGCGCGCAAGGGCCCAATGTAAAAAAAAAAACAGAAAAAAAAAAAAAAAGCGGCGTTCCCCTTTAAGGGTTATGATGAAGCCCAAAACAAAAAAGAACAAAATCCCCATTCCAGTTTTCAGTTTGTTCAATTTTGTGCATTTAGATCAGGGGTAACCAATTAAAAATCAGCGGAGTCCAAATAAAGAATATCAACAACTAGTAAAGGTCCAGAGACATTTTTAATTACAATCCGTTACTTTAAACAGAATTTAACACTGAAATAAAATGAGGTGTTTATGCATCAATGTTGTACATTGACTTTAAAAAAATAATAATAATAACACACTAACACATTTTATATATATATATATATATATATATATATATATATATATATATATATATATATATATATAAAAAATAGAAAATTTTTCCATTTTAAAATCATTTAAAATCTGCTGTTTTTTGAAGTAGAAAACAACAATCGTTCAGTTTGGTATATAGACAATTTCCTGATTCAAACATTATATAAAACACCTGAACTGATCGTTTATTTTTTTTACTTTCTTTTTTTATGGCATGAGAGAAGTGGGCTTTAGGTTGCCCTGCATGGCTTTTAAACCTGGGTTTGAATGGCGACAAAGCCATTCTCAAGCGCATATAAAGGTGCTTATTTTGAGTTTGGATCAATATTTATTTTTTATTATGTTCATGGTGGAGAATCCTACTTCACAGCAGTAGATTGAGACAAACATACTCAAAATGTGGTCATCTTTGAGAATGCCATTTCACTTTTCTTTTTCACCAGTTCACCACAATTCTTCCAGCACTCCACACTTTCTCTTCTCACCGTCTTCTCCTTCTTTCCCATCGCCCGGCTTGCCAAAGGTTTGCCCGCTGTGTCTAAAAGTAGCTAGCTGATTGACAAAGCTCATTGGCTAATTTGTGCAGCCTGGTGCCGGATGCTACGAATGGCTTTACCATGTTAACACGAGAAGAGGTGCAAATTAAGTGAAACACTGTTGTCAGGCCAAATGCGGTAATTTATAAATTTTGGGGTCCGGATTAGCCAACATGTGGGACCAGAGACGGACACTCAAGCAATGCACATCAATAGGTCTTTAACATGTAATACCTTGGAGTAACAGTGCATTTAAAAACTACAGTAAATGGATGCTAGGTGATGTACAGTGCGTTAACATCTAGGAAATGCCTGTAAATGGTTATCCTATGCAAAATAGGGCTTCTAAATCATTTTTATTAGGGATGGGCAATCAATTGTAATGACAATAGGACTGATTGATTTGGCCAAAAATTAAAATCGGGATTCTTTCAGCCAACATTGTGATTTGTTTTTTTCTTTGCACCAACCACCGACCTGTAGACGTTTCACTCAGTTTTATTGTTGTCATGCCTTTGATCCATTATCAAGTCCATTATTTATGCATGGCTCTGCCAGCTAGCTATAACATTCTCTTATTTCTGCCTGGTGGCAAACAAACTTTAAGCGTATCATTGCCACCTAAACAACCGGAATGAGAAAGTTAGTGTCTTTCTCTTGTTAAATGTAATGTGAGCAAAATCGAGGGCACTGCTGCAATTTGAAAAATTGTGTTTTTTAAATTGAGATTATACTGCAAATGCAATCAATGAGCAAGTCCTAATTTGCATGTAGAAGGTACAATTTGTTGTCCACAAAGTACAAACTGAGGTGGGCAAGAAAAGTTTGAGGTTTCAGCACCCACTACCTGGAACAAATTACATTCTGAACTTTCAATTCAAGCCACTCAACAAATCCTTGTTGAATCACTGCAATTAATTATGTATTTGTGTTAATGTTTTCTGTGAGAATTTTTGGTGTGTAAATGTTTTGAACTTGTAACTTGTATACTGCGGCCCTCTCGGTCAGACCTCTCTTGCAAAAAGTTAAATCTCAATGGGACAAACCTGGTTAAATAAAGGCTAAAACAAGCCCTGTCATCCTTTAAATCTTTGATTACTACTGATTAATACTGGCATTATATTTCAATATAGTCTGTTAGCTTCTAATCACAATAAAACTGGTAAAGCATTACCTGAACAGAGTGAGAAGCCGCAGGCCACCAGAGAGTAGCTAGTGTTTAACAGGATGACCTGGTCCTTCTTCAGCTGGAATGCGGGCTGAAAGGTGGGGAATGGGTACACCACCTGGTATCTGCTGTTGAGCACATATCCATGTTCAAGACACTCACCACTTCCTATGGGAGACGAGGGGATTAACGTGACTGGGAGGAAGAGACAAGGAGTGCAGGAGCAAATACTGCAAGTATTTGGAGGCTCACCTGTGCGCATGGTTGAGCCCATAGGAGCTGGACAGCAGTTTGAGCAAGGTTTGGACAGAGGCATGGAAGCTATTGTGATGTAGATATCCCTGTTGTTATCATCACTCATCATCAAATTCATCAACGAGTTCATCATCACAGAACTAGAACTGCGAGTACTGAGCAAGAAAAGGATCAGAAAAAAGACAATTATCTAAACATCATAACTCTCAGTACTGTGGATTATATTATTTTTTTATTCTTCAGTAGTACTTCTTACTTGAAACCAAAGATGACAATTTTAGAGTGGTCATTTGGCCATTCGCACACAGTGAGGTACAGATCGCTGTAAATGTCCTCTCCTGCAAAGAGCCGTACATGATGTACCTAAAGATAAAAAAAAAATGTTGATAAAAAGGTTTACTCATTAAAAAACACTTCCAAAAACACTTTTCCTTATTCAAGCTTACCTGTTTTAGTCTACTGTGCAGGTTGAACTCCCACCAATAGAGGTGATAGGTGTGAAATAAGAAATCGTTGTCTTCTCCATAGTCAATGGTGTAAGAAAGAACGTAGCGGCCGCATTTGGTGAAGCCAAGGAAGATGTGCCTAAAATCAAAAGATGAAGAACTGAATTAAAATTCGACTTATTTTGAACTGTGTAGTGCTAACGTGCAGCACAACAGCGATTATTTGAGAGTAGAGCCAAAACCCCAGATTGGATAGCTCAGGTTCAAACAGGCTTTGTGCTTCAATTCATACACAGACAGCAGCTTTTGAGAAAAAGGTCTGATCTATAACTGATCAAAAACATAAGTCCTGGCAAGATTAAAAGCAAAGTAATGAATCACAGACCCCGCCCTGAGAAACTCCTCGCTGACGATGCTCTTCAATGGGACACAAACCCGAGGAAGCAGCTTCCTGACAAGGCGCTGAGAAAACTGTCCAGACAGCTGCAGGACAGAAAGGAACAGTTGGAACAAAACAGTCACTCAGCAACTCTCTCCATCCTAAGAAACAAGACGATCATTTTACGTTGTTATAAATCTGTAAATATATAGGAAATGTACTGCATCAACAATAAACTTGGATTATTTACTAGACAGCTTGAACTCCTTTGGTAAAATGAGCCAAAAGAAGAAACACTATTTTAAGGGATACAGACCCACAATTTAAAACATGCTAAAACGATGAATCCAGAAACAATACTGTGATGTTGAATTTGCTTATGCTAGTTTTTGTGGGTTAAAAAAAATTCCTCTAATTTTTTTTTTTTTAAATATTACCGTTGCCTATTATTACTATTGATACTTCTGAAATGCAGCACCATTGCTGTGTCTATTTATGCCCCCAGATGCAGTTAGCCCCTTTCCTTAAGGCCTGTGCAGAGCAGCTCTGTGGCAGCAGATGGTTGCAGCGCCAAATAAAACTCAGCCAAAAGTCCTTAGTTAGTATAGAAGTGTTGCTCTAACATCTCACATCATGAAGGTCCTAGACAGACTTCAATTGGTTCAACTCAGTAGGCAAACAAGCAGCTATCTAGATTCCCTCCAGTTTTAGTCAGAAGCATAGGAGCACCACAGGGGGTGGTACTCTGACTTTTAATCTGGACAACAAACTTGACTGGGGATGTAATTTTGAAACTTTCTACAAGAAAGGACAGAGAAGACTGTAACTCCTAAAAAGGCTTAGCTCCTTCAGTGTTCTTTTATGACCCCTTGCTCACACTGGCTCCGGTGCGGTTACCGAGCCGACGGAGACCGCAACTCCCGCACACCCCCTCTCACACAGGCCTTTTGACTACGGTACGGTGGGGTGCGGCTCTGCGGCTCCGGCAACAGGTCCGGAGATTTAACTCGCGAGAACAGAAGTTCACTTGAGTTCACGTAACTTCACGCGATAACATGGCCCAAATAAGGATATTTGCGAGAGCTTGTTGCGGAGGTTCTCCGGCATGCCGCAAGGATAGCTTTCTTGCGGAATTTTCTGCAGCGCCGGAGTGTCTCGGTAACCGCAGCCGGACAGCTCAGCAGCCGGTGAGAGAGGTTTACGTCTTTTTAATGACTTGGAATCACTGCGGCGCCGCACCCACTGCACCGCAACGGTAAGACCGGAGTCGGTGTGAGCCGGGGGTTAGTCTGTTGTGGAAAGTATGAACCCTTCTGCCATCATCTTCTGTGGTAAGACCATCGGAGCAAATGATTTAAAAAAGTTCGACAAGCCAAGGCGGCCACCTCTCTTCTTGGAAATTTTCTGAAACGTCTAGTAATAATTTCATAAACAATATTTTTTTTCATAAAATGAGTGTAATGCACAACCTAGAGAATCTTCTTCACAAGACTGTTAAACATCAACAGATGTCTCTAGTCAAAGGCTTCTTCTGATACGGATCAAGACAGATGGCTTCAGACTATCCTTCCTGGCTACAGCTATCAACATCTACAACAAATCCTTGGGAGAAGAAGAAACACCTTTCAGCTATGAAAACATTACCCTTTGGGGTGAAAAAAAAAATATCTTTGAATTAATAGACTAAGAAATTTAAAAATTATTCTACATTGGTGTCAAGGTAAACATAGTCCCAAAACCCCGACTACCATGCAACATGCACAAACTTATGATTCACATTATATCAGCTGTACTGCTGCCATCAACACCCTTTTTTTATAGATGTTGGAGATCGGGCCTGTTTTTCCAGCGTATTCCTGTTTCTCTGACTGTGACTGGCTGGATGTGCTCTATTCATCCTCTGACATGGGAGCTGGCTTGGAGCTTGTCTGCCTGGCTGTGTGTTTCCTGGACGGGGCTGCCTTTTACATTTCCTTTTTGTATCTCTGCTTCTGTCTCCTTGAACCCCAGTCGGCCTCGGCAGATGGCCGCTCACACTGAGCCTGGTTCTGTTGGAGGTTTCTTCCTGTTAAAAGGGAGTTTTTCCTCTCCACCGTCGCTACAAGCATGCTTAGTGTGAGGGATTGCATCCAAGTCAATGACTCGATGCAATCAACTGGTTTTCCTTAGATAGAAAACTTTGAATCAATTTGACTGTATGATCTGATGAACTGTAAAGTGCCTTGAGAAGACATGTGCTGTGATTCGGTGCTATAGAAATAAACTGAATTGAATTAATAACTGTATTAAGGTATTCACTGCATTAGGTCCCCAGTTACCCTCTAAAACAATATCCCACAGAATATTTGTAGTATAAAGAAAGGCAGAAAAGCCGAAGGCCACTATTAAAGCAAATTGATCCTTCCTAAAACTTTAGTAGAGCCAAAGGTTGACGTCTTTAACACACTGATTTTATGTACACATATAAGCATACTTTTCAGAAGGCTGACATATCAGCATTAAAAATCCATTTTATTGTTCTTATGCAATCTTTTTATCTTTTTTATAGTTATAAAGTATCTAACCCATAACTACATAAACTCTAAAATATAACATTAAACCATTAATCTACATAACCAATTATTTTTCAACACAGTAGATCAGAGTCAGATTAATCAAAACTTCGAACCAAGCACAACATAGAAAGGCTGATACACAGGTCTGTTAGTGCAGGTAAAGCAGGTAATCAATTGCCAGGTCAAGTTTTTACGTGTGCAAACATTTAACCGTTAAAGACGTTTTTACGTTAAAACGTAATCAGATTATTACTCGCATAAAAGTAGAGTTCGTCTCTTGCTTTTACTGTCCAGTTGTCTTCGATTAATCCAGTTTTAGTTCTTCAATTTTATTACCAAGTCAAATCGGAAAGCAGCTTTACAGCAACGTGATAAAACAATTAAAATCAGCTCATTGTTTATAGCATTAGCTTGATTAGCCACCTGCCACTAGTGATTTCTTGTTAGCTGCCAAGCTAGTTAGCAGATAGCTAATAGCTTCATCGGTCCTTCAGAGGGTGGAAGCCTCAACTAAAAAGTCTGCGGTTTTTGACTATGTTTCTATGTTAGTGTCAAGGTGATATATATATATACTCGCCTTTCCACGCATTAGAACCTTTACGACATTGTCCTTGTGTTTCTTTTGCGATTTCAGTTTGTTGTCGTCCTTTTCAGATTTCGAGCTGGGCGCCATATCCGACTGAGCTGTTGTTCCCAGTAAAAACAGGGAGCATCCTGATTGGTTCTCGTGCAACAGTGCTTCAGTTTTATTGGCTAATCGACACATCCGTCAAAGTCAGCATAGGGCTGGGCTAAACCATGTCCCGCCTCCATGAGAAACAATATGGAACCACTCTTTGTGAATTTAGCCAGACAAACACTGTAATATAATATGAACGTTTTATTGAGGTCTTTAAAAACAAACTGTAAAAATAACTTTTAAAAAAAGGACATACACAAGCAAAACCTATCGGAAGATAATGTTTCAAAAATAAACCTGCAAATTAAACTGAGGGTAGTCAAGCACACAAATATACATGCACACACAACCAGCCTACAGTTTGTAGGACAATTAGTGACCAATAGCTGCAAACCTGCATTCAGTAGCATTACAGATATTACAGACATTCAATACCCTCTTGGAAAAAAAAAGAAAATCATTATAGGATGATTTACACCCACAAACACTGGGAATGTTAAAAAATAATACATAGAACAACACAAAGTAGCAATTATCTTTTATACAAAGATAATTTAGGAATATATTCAAAATACTGCTAGACAGTTATTCATACCCTCTGAAAACTGAAGGGAAATACTAAATGTGAATCATTATCGAGATGCTGTTGTGGTAGCTTCCAAGCAGAATTGCTCATTTCACATTTTCATTCAGAAAAACAAAATGAAATTAAAATATTAAATTGAATTACAAGGTGATGCAGGGTCAGGTAAAGGGGAAACCAAACAGGTAAGGTATTTAGTGCTTTGTCCAATTTGTGGGCACAAAGTGTTACCTTTTTTAAATCCATTAAGAAAATGTAAATAGATAGTGTAATGAAGGACAAGCAAACCCTGGCCTCGTTTCTTAAAGCCAAATGAGGGAAAAGTAAACATCCTGAGATCCAACACATCCGTCGACAGATCAACCGTTGGTTCACTGAGGCTGAAAGAGACAACAAACATGATGCAATTAATTTTAATCCCTTTGATCTCAATATGCCTAAAGTACCTCGTTAATGCTTTACAAGATTTAGGCAGCAACAACCCCTAAAAAAAGGGCTAAGTGCATAACATTTGTTTAATAAATAAAGTCAGAAAAGTATATACATTTTCAGATAAAAACAAAGTAGACATTGATTTTCCTATCCAACTTCTCAGAGCAATTCCATAAAACTTTTCCAACTTGAGATGAGAAATTCTGATTTCCAAATAAAGTAACTTTAGGGCTGATTACGAAGATGTTTACCTGCTGTCCCGGCTGTGGACCACCAGCCTGTCCTGCTTGTCCATAATAGGCAGCCTGCTGTCTATAATACTCGGCCCATGCTGCACTGTAGTCCTGTTGGCCACTAGCGTCAGCCCCACCTGGTGCTGCAGCTGCCACTGTAGTGGCGGGCACTGCTGCGCCTGAAGCGCCTGCTGCACCTCCAGCTTGCTGAGCTGGAAAAAGGCAAATAACCATTAGGTCACATGATACAATCCGAACGTTACAATAATTAATGCATAATTAATAACAGTTAATTTTTATTTAATCTTTTCCAAAGGCTTTGCATTCAGTTTTAGGAGTGTTTATCATTATTGTGTGATTTTTCTTATCATCTTTTACATGTTTAAAATAAACTCCTTACCTAACTAAATAATGGTTCCAAAGTATTTATCTGTGACAAAAACTAGAGATGCAGCAACAACTTTAAGACTTATCCAGGTAGATCTCACAACCAAGATTGCTTTTGTTTTTTAACAATAAAAAGGAAAAAATATTCAGCAAAAATACTTATAAATCTAACATTGACCCAATAAATAAGCTTAAAAAAAAAGAGTAATAAACAATGTTGATATTATGAATCAACAAATGAATTATTGATAGATTCATTCACCTAATGGCTATTGTACATCTATAAATACTGGAAGTGCTTTTTTTGAGTAAGGAACAATAGTCATCCTCTCTATACAGAATTTATTGCATTTTTGGTAAGAGAAATGTAATATAATCTAAAGGGATTGTCTATATTTTAAACATGGAAAGTCATAATTAATATATATATATATATTAAAAAAAGGGGTTTCACTTTTGGGGGTTAAGTTGTGTAAAGGCCTTAATGATGAATTGATGTACTTTATCACTTTGATGTATACTACTATGTACTTTATGCACTTTGTCAGTTTAAATAAATGTTAAAATGTAAAATAAACACATATGTTGCCAACTATAAGATAATTGTTGTGATATTTACTACTTTTTTTTGATAATTGTATTTTTAATGGTTGTTAAGGTAAAGGTGATAACCAGGTGCTTCAGCCTATTCCCTTTCCAGATGTTCAAACTTTACAAACTAATTGTTCATAACTACAAGATGTAGGCATCTATCTGAAATTGTTCCTTCATTCATTCATTGAAAAGCAATTTAATATGAAAGAAAATTAATCTCTGTTGGGATATCTTATAAGAAAATGTGTGGATCTCTTTCCTCCAAGAACAAGTAGTGCATTTCTAACCAGATATATTTCCAAGCAGTACAGTGAAGTACAGTGAGAGCTGGCGTCATCAGTTCTAACTTACTCATGCCCATCTTCTTATAATATTCCTCCCAAGCTTTTGTATAGTCAGGCTGCCCCCCACAGGTCTGTGCTGCTTGGCTTTGGTCCCCTGTGGCTGCTGCTGCAGGGGCACCAGGTGCCTGGGCTGCAATGGCCCCTGGCTGCTGCTGCTGCCCATAATACTGAGCGTAATATGCTGCCCACGCTGCATTTGGGTCTGAAGCAGCCTTGCCTAAGAGAAAAAGAAAAAGTAAATAATTGACAATCCAAAACCAAAGAAAAAGAGAATGAGGATAAATACAAGACTCTTACTGGGGTCATTTGAATTTGGAGCCTGCCACTGCTGGTAAGGATTTCCCCAACCTTGCGAACAATACTGACCACCAGGAGCTCCGCTACACGATTTGGACAGGAGGAAAACTTTAAACCCACATGTCAGTTTAAATGTAAATAAATGAGCAACTTCAATATGTTGCACTTACTGTGGAGCTCCACCAGGAGGTCCGGCATTATAAGGACTTTGATTATATTGACCCATTGGCCCACCAGGACCCCCGGGACCAGGACCGCCACCTACTGGACACAGTGGACCCTGGCAAACCCAGATAAACAAAGAAAAAGTTAAAATATGCATTGAGAAGTTGGTTGGTTTTCTGGCAGCTAGCCTTTTTTAAATCTACCTCAATCTTTTCTTCAATCAGCTGTTTTGCGTGGTCAATCTGCTGTGGCGAGCCTCGGATTATAAACAGCTTGTAGTTTGGGTCGCCGTTTGGCGGCATTTGACGACAAATCTCAACGAACGCCCCGGTTTGTTGGTTGATGGACTTGATGTTCTCTCCTCCTCTCCCAATGACGAGCCCACATTTGTGAGCAGGAATAGAGAAGGTCACCTCTCCTCCTGGAGGACCCCAGTTGCCCTGGCCTCCACCACGACCTCTGCCTCCAGGTGGCATACCAGAGCCTGGAGGGCCCTGTAGAAGAAAAGCCACATCCCAGTTAGCATGACGACTTTTGCACCGTCCCTCTTTGATGCAGAAACACTTCTCCTTCTACTTACCCCCTGCCCACCTTCCTCTCTGGCACGAATGCTCTGCAGAAGGTCTGTAATGATGGAAGCAGCGTGCTGACACTGATCCGGGGGGCCCATGATGTGGGCAATCTTTTCAGGTGCTGTACCATCATCTGTAATTTACAAAAAAAACAAAAACAAAAAAAAACACTACAGTGTAAATGACTTTTCTGCACATAAGGTCTGATTCAATTCAAACGTTTGGTTTACAGATGGAACATTTCATCAACAGAACTGAACCTGTCAAATGTTTCAATGCATTGGGAGTTGTATTTTACACCAGGTCTTTTCTCCCACACTATTTAAATTTTATCACTGCTGCACTTTATGGAATGGAAAAGTTCATTAACCGTCTGAAAAGCTGTACTTAACAAAATGTTGTTTTTGTATACACTAGGGATGGAACGGTTT